TGGTGCCCACCACCTGCCCCACAGTGACAGGGAGCAGGGGCATGGTGTGGGCTGGGGGGGCTGGTTTGGGGTGGGGAGGGGACACGCTGGGATGGGGACACACTGGGGTGGGGACACACTGGGGTGGGGACACACTGGGGAGGGGACACACTGAGATGGAGACACACTGGCAGTGATGGACACACTGGGATGGGAACACACTGGGGAAGGGACACTGCCAGTGATGGACACACTGGGGTGGGGACACTGGCCGTGCTGGACACACTGGCAGTGCTGGACACACCAGGCAGCTGCGGGATCCTTCTCCATCCCCTCGGGCGATGCCAAGGGCACAGGGAACACATGCAGGGCACACCAGGATGGATTGCATCACCCTGGATGTCCCCAGGGGTGGGCTGAGGTCTGCAGGAGGCTGTTCCAGACACCCTCGGCAGCAGCTCCGGACAAACACTCCCGGAGCCAGCGGCACGGGAGGGAGGAGCTCCGGGGCAGGGATCAGGGCCAGGCCGTGCTGGAGAGCAGGACCCTGCCCCGCAGGGAAAGCATCTCTGCCAGGCTGAGCCTCCAGACGGGATGGAGGGACTGGTTCTCACTGTCCCCCAGCCAGCTCACCAGGTCTTGTCCTGCTCCACATCCTGCTGGAATCTGTCCAGGCAGTCTGTCCTTCCCGCGGCCCTGCTCCTGCCTGGCAGCATCTCCCTCCTGGGGGTCAGGTCCTGTCCTGCCATCCTGCAGCTGGATCCCAGAGCAGAGCCTGGCCATGGAATGGGGCTGGAATTTGGAAATTCTCAGCCAGTTTGGAAAATCCACATTCCAAGACAGGGATTTGTCTCTCAGCACCCAGGTTCTGCTCAAAGGGTGGAAAACACGGAAGGAATGCTGTGATTGTTTCCAATGTCCCACGGTTTTGAGACCTCTAAAATCTTTTAAATGTGGAAAACACAACAGGCACTTCAAATATTCCCTGTGCCCTGTAGTGAGCACGGCTGCCAGCCTGGCTTTGTGGGATTCCTAAAGGATGGGGACAGATCAGGGAATCACAGAATATCCTGAGCTGGAAGGGGCCAACAAGGAGTGCATGGACAATTTCCTGTTGTTTTGGACAATAAATTGTTTTGCTTTCAGGGCAAGCACATAATCCTTTTTTGGGTGTGTGTGTATCTTTGTTTTATCTTCTGATAATTTAAACACCCCTTGAAAGGCTCCTGAAGCACATCCAAATAGCTGCTGACATGAAGTCCCACCAGAAGAAGAGTTTGGTCTGAAGCTGTACTCGATCCATATCAGCCAGGAAATGTTGAGCTGAGCCTGCACCCCGAGGAAGGCAGAGCTGTGGTTTATCCAAAAATGACTTTTATTGTTAAATGGGTCAAGAGGGAGCTGATGACATCAGTGTCCCTGCTGAGCTCACCTCACTTCAGCAGCAGCTTTGACACAGGGAGGGTGATGAGCAGGAAGACCCTGCTGGCTTCTGTGTGGAGGAGAGATCCTGCTCCTCCATCCTCTGTGTGCAGGACAGACCCTGCTCCTCCATCCCCCTGGGACAGGACAGACCCTGCTCCTCCCTCCTCTGTGTGCAGGACAGACCCTGCTCCTCCATCCTCCTGGGACAGGGCAGACCCTGCTCCTCCCTCCTCTGTGTGCAGGACAGACCCTGCTCCTCCATCCTCCTGGGACAGGGCAGACCCTGCTCCTTCATCCTCCTGGGACAGGGCAGACCCTGCTCCTTCATCCTCCTGGGACAGGGCAGACCCTGCTCCTCCATCCTCCTGGGACAGGAGAGTATCCTCCTCCTCCATCCTCCTGGGACAGGACAGATCCTGCTCCTCCATCCTCCTGGGACAGGGCAGACCCTGCTCCTCCATCCCCCTGGGACAGGACAGATCCCACTCCAGAATCACTCTGTCCCTCCCAGCTGCCCCCAGAACACAAGCTCTGCCTCCCCTACCTCACTTCTCACCCAAGGCTGTAATTCCAGGCCATGCTGGATGGGAATCAGAGCAGCCTTGTCCAGGGGAAGGCGTCCCTGCCCATGGCAGGGTGGCACTGGATGCCCTTTAAAGGTCCCTTTCAGCCCAAACCACTCAGTGGCTGACTCCATAAACACTTTGAGTGTTTCTTTCCACCCTGTTCTGGCCCCAGAGCTGGACTTGTTGGAAACAGCCAAGTGCTGGAGCATTTCCTCTGGTGGGTGAGGAAATTTTGGGATGCAGACCCTCATCAAACTGCCCTCAGCTGACATGTTCCCCCTGTCCATACAAAATGAGGCACATTTCTACCCCTAACATTTTCCCCCTGTCCATACAAAACCTGGCACATTTCTGCCTCCACTCAGTGGCTGACTCCATAAACACTTCGAGTGTTTCTTTCCACCCTGTTCTGCCCCCAGAGCTGGACTTGTTGGAAACAGCCAAGTGCTGGAGCATTTCCTCTGCTGAATGAGGAAATTTTGGGATGCAGACCCCCATCAAACTGCCCTCAGTATCCCTGACATTTTCCCCCTGCCCATACAAAACGTGGCCCATTTCTGCCTCCATGGATTTCCCCAAGTGCCTGTTTGGGCTAGACAGTGGAAAAGACATTTTGTATTGAGGAATAAAACCCCAATAAACTCCAAGGCAGCTGATGAGGTCCAGGAGCACGACCTGCATCCAGAGCTGGCAGTCCAGCTGGACTCTGGCATGATGGACAAGCACTTCCCTTTCCAAGTCTGTGCTGGCACCTGCAAGATGGACTCGGCTCCGGGCATCCCAGCCCAGTTTGGGAGGCTGGAGCTGATGGATCCCACTGGTGATGAAGCCAGCAGAGCTGGGACTGCCCAGGCTCAGCCCCTCAGCAGCAGCATCCCCACAGGATCCCTCTGGGAAGCTGCTCCCGACCTCCAGCGCTCGCTGGTGATGCTCCAGCCTCAGCCAGCCTCATCCAGCCTCATCCAGCCTGATCCAGCCTGATCCAGCCTCATCCAGCCTGATCCAGCCTGATCCAGCCTCACCCAGCCTCATCCAGCCTCACCCAGCCTCATCCAGCCTGATCCAGCCTGCTCCAGCCTGATCCAGCCTCATCCAGCCTGATCCAGCCTGATCCAGCCTCAGTCCAGCCTCAGTCCAGCCTCACCCAGCCTCAGTCCAGCCTCATCCAGAGCCTCACCCAGCCTCATCCAGCCTCATCCAGCCTCAGTCCAGCCTCATCCAGCCTCATCCAGCCTCACCCAGCCTCATCCAGCCTCAGTCCAGCCTCACCCAGCCTCATCCAGCCTCAGTCCAGCCTCATCCAGCCTCAGTCCAGCCGCCCCGGGAGAGGCGGGGATCTGCAAAGCCCCAACGGAGATGTGGCACTGACCCCTGCTGACAGCTCCTGCCCCAGCCCTGCACCCGAGAAGGGCTGAGCCTGGCAAAGGACACGTGGAGGAGAGCAGGGATGTGGGAATGCTCCTCAAACCCTGGGGAAGGAGAGGATCCTGCTGCTGATGAGGGGCCCCTGCCCAGACCCCCTGCTCCCACCACCCAAAACACGCAGAGGAGCCTACTGGAGATGGAGTTTATTAAAGATGCAATGAAAAACCCAATTATTGCACTTCAAACTGCCAGTGGGCAGGGATGGATGGGATATTGGGAAGGAATTCTCGGCTGGGAGGGTGGGCAGGCCCTGGCACAGGTGCTCAGAGCAGCTGTGGCTGCACCTGGCAGTGCCCAAGGCCAGGCTGGACAGGGCTGGGAGCAGCCTGGGACAGTGGAAGGGGTCCCTGCCATGGCAGTGGTGGAATTAAATGGGAATTAAGGTCCTTTCCAACCCAACCCATTCTGGGATTTGCTGGTGACCAGGGCCAGCAGGGGAAATGAGCAATGTTCAGTTGATGGAATTCAGCAGCGTGAGGACCTCGTGGAGCACAGGAATGATGGGAACACACGAAGGATCTGCTCACACCCTTCCCTTGGGAACCATGCCTTTGATCAGCAGGCTGCACTTTATTCCTTTAAATACATACATTTTGGCTCCAAGCCTGTCACTCAGTCCAAAAATGGTCACTCTCAATTAAGGCTTTCCAGTGCAGCCCAGGACTAATAATCTATTTCTGGGTATTTCAAAAGCCTCACAGCCACGTGTGCTGCTTGCAGGATGAGAAATACTGAGTTTGCAATGCTCTCAGCAGCCCCTTACCAGCATTTTTTCCTCTTCTCAGTAATTTCAGAGCCTTAAAGAGTAGGAAGAGGATCTGACTGTCCCAGCACATCTCTCTGGGAGGGAGATCAAGTTCATTGAAGGGATCGTCATGGAATCCTGGACCATCTGCTTTCAGCCTCCTGCCATTTCTTGTCCAGGAGATGTGCAGAGGCTGGAAATCCACTTCCCCAGGTTTTGCATCTCCCCAGTTAAGTTTTGGATGTGAAGCAGCTCCATCCCACCTTGGAAGGGTCCAGCCTTGCCCTTCATATCTCTCCACTTTTCCACAGCACTCAGCTTTCCACAGAGCTTGCTCCCTGCACATTCCCAGCTCAGGAGGCACCAACCTTGCTGCTGTCACCGAGAGCAAAGACAAATGGAGGCTGCAAATAGCCCCTGGGCTTGTGACCAAGAAAATGCCAGCAGTGAGCAAAGCCATCTCCCAACCTGCCCACCCCTGGGATTTGCTGGCAGAGTTTTGTCCCAGCTATTCAGGACTGTTGTGTGACCTGAGCTCTGGCTTCTGGAATAAATCTGCTTTGACCAGATCCTCCTCTTCTCCCGCTGTGAGGACGAACAAGTTCACAAATTCAGGTCACAAGTCAGGTGTAAACACAACTGGGGCTGGTTGGAGCAGCCCTGGAGTGCTGGAATGCTGGCTCCACACGCTTCCAGTGCAGATGGAATTGCAGGATTTTCTGTCACACATCAGTAGAGCTTCTCCTGCAGCCAGGGAGGAGAGAAATGGGCTTTTTATCTTGGAATCACTCACCCCTTCCTGCTCAGGGGCAACTGAAGTGACTCTGAGACTTGGGGAATCTACAGAGCAGGGCTGAATGGTCCTTTCCAGTGTAGCTTGTTGCTTGATGAGCTCCCAAGAGCAGCCAGGGCACAACAAGTGGGATGTACAGACACCCCCAGCGCTGAGCAGCAGGAGTGGCCTCTCCTTTCACCATTCCTTGACAGCCAAACCTCTTCTCTCCTTGGAGAAAAGGCAGGGACAGTGCCAGGCTGTGCAGGGCAGTCCCACCCCTTTCCCCAGCCCGGCTCTCACAGCTCGCTGTGCCTCCTGCCCTGCTTGTCCCTCGCTGCCATCCTCGGGGCCGTCCCCCGCAGGCCCCTCCCAGGGACACCGCCTTCCTCCGCTGTGCCCTCCTGGGATGGCTCCTCCCGGGTGCCGCTGTCCCCTCCTGCCGTGTCCCCTCCGGGGCTTTTGGGCGGCTGCTGTGCCGGGGAGTCCCCGGGCTGCGGGGACAGCTCGGGCACCGATGGCTCCATCATCTGGAGGAAGTCGTAGGCAGGGAGTGGTGGCCTCCAGTCCTCCTCAGACAAGGTACCTGAGCAGCAAATACAGCCCCAGTCAGTAGGTGAAGAGTTATGTCCCACCTCCATGGATAGTTCCCTTTCTGAGGAATTATGGCTTTCCCCCCATTCTAATGAATACAAAATTAAAAATCTTATTAAAAACCACAGAACAATCTGGGTTGGAAGGGAGCATAAAGATCATCTCATTCCACCCCTGCCATGGCAGGGACACCTTCCACCATCCCAGATTGCTCCAAATCCCATCCAGCCTGGCCTTGGGCACTGCCAGGGATCCAGGGGCAGCCACAGCTGCTCTGGGCACCCTGTGCCAGGGCCTGCCCACCCTCACAGCCAGGAATTCCTTCCAATATCCCATCTAACCCATTCCCTGTGTCCTGTCCCTCCATCCCTTGTCCCCAGTCCCTCTCCAGCTCTCCTGAGGAAGGCAGATCCATGCTGGCTTCCTCCAGAGCCTCATCAGGCTGAGCAAGACAGGAGGGATGCAGTGAAAGCTTCACAGCACAAGCCAACCTTTTATGTCCTAAAGCCTCCAGTAAAACACCAGCTCCCTCATCCCTTCCCATCCAAAAAGAAATGCAGGAAGGTGCCTGAAGAGCAGCTACTTCTTGCACTGTCAGCTGGGAGCTGGGAGGTTTTTTATGAGCAAGCCATGGCTGGGAATGGGAAAACACAGCCAGATTTGGGGATTATCACAGAGAAAAGATGTCAATTCCAAACTATCCACATTTGGCTCTGAGCACTAAACAGTCCCAAAGCAAACTTGTGAGTGTGGGCATTCTCTCTTGGCTGGACTGTTTGTACTTCTGCAGCTCTAACAAGCAGAGCTGCTTTTTCCATCGTTAAATTCCAGGGCAGACAATTTATTGCACGTAGAATCTTCTCATAAACACACTGGAGCTCACAGTGTGTGCTTGGGAATGTGGTAAACCTGTGCCCACTTACTGCTGGGAATCTCCAGTCCTGCTTGGAGCTTCTCCAGCCACAGCAAGATGTTCATCTCAGTGATGGGCTGCTCTGAGGGGAACTTGAACACCTGACCCCCAGCATGGAGGTTCACCCAGAGGAGAAGGGGCAAGGGAGGAGTGGTGGAGAAGTGTGTCCTCAGGATCCCATATCCCACTGGAGTCTTCTTCCTGTTGGGAAAAGGAGATTCAGGTTTGGCAGCACAACAGGACTGAGAGCCAAAAAAGCCACCAAAGCACTTGGGTCACATGCAGCAAAGCAGAGTTTGGTGGGACTGCAGAAGCATCATCCCTGGAAGTGTTCAAAGCCAGGCTGGACAGGGCTTGGAGCAACCTGGGACTGTGGAAGGTGTCCCTGCCCAAGGATGAGCTTTAAGGTCCCTTCCGACCCAAACCACTCCAGGATTCTGTGATTCTAAGCACTGTAAATAAGCCTGATGCTTAAGGAACCTGCTAGCATCCAACAGGGAGAGAGCAGACAACGGCCTGGGTGTGTGAAGAAATCCTTGAGCAGGACAAACTCTGCAGGAAGGTGGGAGATGTTTTCCACCTAAAGCTCCTAAGAAGAGGTGGGACAAGAGTGGGACAGGTCCTGCAGCCCCCAGGTCAGGCCCTGTCTGCAGGGACAGCTGAGAGCTCCTTCCCAGCCCTTCCAGCTGCTGCCACTGCAGTTCCACAGGGATGGAAAGGCAAATTCCTCAGGTGACACACAGAGAGTGAAAACAGGACATTGAGCCAGGGGGACAGCAAGCCCACAGGGGTGCTGAGACATTCCTGCACTGTTTTAAGGCTTCAGGGCTGAGCTGGCTGTTGCCCTGGGAATGAGGGCTTCTTTCTAGCATGAGGGACTTTGGACAAGGACATGAAGTGACAGGACACAGGGAGTGCCCACGGCCAGAGGGCAGGGATGGATGGGATTTTGGGAACTGGGAATTCCTGCCTGGGAGGGTGGAAAGGTGCCCACAGAAGCTGTGGCTGCCCCTGGATCCCTGGCAGTGTCCAAGGCCAGGCTGGATGGGATATCTTGGATAGTGGAAGGTGTCCCTGCCATGTCAGGGGTTGGAATGAGATGATCTTTAATGCTCCTTCCACCCCAAACCCTTCAGGGGTTCTGCCCTGTTTTGTGGCAGTGCCATTCTGCTCTGGCACAGGAAGTTTTCTGTGTCTCAGCAAGGCAGAGCAGAGGCAGATGTGTAGGTGGGGAAGTTCCAGGGCTCTCATTTCTGGTGCATTACTGGCAGCCCAATCCCCTTGTCCCTGAGCACATGTGCATTTCCCCCTCAGCTAAACTCCAGCCCACGCTGGTCACGGCTTCCCAGACTTCAAAGCAAGTTATGATTAAGCCACTGAAGTTTCTCTGGGCTTGGGCACAACAAACAGAGGCCAAAAAATTCAAAATGCAACTAAGAAGAGGAGGATTAAAAAAAAAAAAAAATCCCCTTTCCTACAATCTTTTATTCTTTAGGTCTTAAATTAATTTTGTTGCCTCAATATTTTTTAAATTTAATTTATGGGGCTTCTAGTTGAACCTTTTTGTGAAAGCTTTCTTTCCCCAGTCAATGACCAGTCATTCCCTCTAATTGCTGGTGGAAAATCACCATAAGACATTCCAGGAGGGCAAATTTCCATATTTTTTTTCTTCCCATATGCACTTCATCCCATCCCAACAAAAATGCAAATAACACCAGACCCAGGGTCAAGCTACTACAAGCACTAGAGAACATTTTCCTCTATTGAAAACGATTTCTGCAATCAATTAAATATTTACTAATTTTACTTTGTCAGGCAATTTTTACAGTTGCCCAGAACACTGAGTAAACCATTGCTCAATGGTTTGACCTCCAATTCCTGATGATTTCAGACCAAATATTCACATTACCAGCTTGTCTTCTCAGCAATTGCAGCCTCAGGGTTTTTTTCTGCAAGGCTCAGAGTGAGTTAATGGAAAGAAGAGATTTTCAAACACTCACAGGTTCAACCAGCAAACCACAAATGTCTGCTGGGGTCTTCCTTTTGCCAGCTTCAGCATTTCCTCACTTTCCACCTGACTGATGTCACCAGCACTGAACAGGATGAGGAAGGGTTTTCCCAGCTGCAGGTACTGGGGCAGATTTGGCACGGTGATTTCTGGCTGCAGGACGTCACAAACAAGAAATTGGGGGTTATGGGGGGGAGAAAACAGGAAAAAATTCCAATTTCTGCTAAGCAAGGCTGCAGTGTCTGTGTGGAATGTGGGAAGCAGGAAGAGGGCTGGGATTTTGCTGCACTTGGAGATGTCTTTGCCCAACCCAAGTGCACCAAGTTTGTGGGAGCAGCTGTGAGCTTGGAGATGGGGATGTGAGCAGAGCAGGCAGAGGCTCCAAAAGGCACAGGGAAAAGCCCTGGGAATAGGGAATAGACCCAGTAATAACTGTGACAACTAGCAGGTGAGTGACTCTGAGGCCAGTCCCTCAACTCCAGGGTCTCCTGCTCCAAGACCACACAGCAAAGAGCAGATTTCTGTCCTGACTCCCTGCTCCAAGACATAAAATTTAAAAACAAACTCGGCACGATAAAAATAACAGTCGGACAAAACAGCGGTTCCACAGAACTCTACGCTATAATCAGGGCTCTGCAAATGACTGCAATGGGAAAAAGGCATTTTGATTTTATTTTTACTCACAAAAATGTCCAGCAGTTCATATCTGATCATCTGCAGCACGTCCTGCACGCTGTGTTCGGACAGAGCGATGCCTTCCACGCTCCGGCCGCCGCTCCGGGCCAAGAGCAGGGCAGGGGGGGACACGGAATATTTCTGGGATCTGAAAAACAGGGATGGGCACAGGGCTTAGGACACACCCTGTCCCACACTGCAAGGCAAGATGTATTCTGTTTGCCATCTGTATGGCACTTGTCTTCTGTTCACACTCACTCCTCCCTTAGGGAGACACCTGCTGATAACAGCTGTTGAATGTCCCTGCATGGCTGATAAGAACCACAGCATCCCACTGGGAGATGTGAGCCCAGAGGGAGGAGCCAAGCATTCCTACCTGGATATAATCTGGGGATTCTGGAACACCAGCCAAGCATTCCTGCCTGGATATAATCTGGAGATTCTGGAACACCAGCCAGACATTCCTGCCTGGATATAATCTGGAGATTCTGGAACACCAGCCAAGCATTCCTGCCTGGATATAATCTGGGGATTCTGGAACACCAGCCAAGCATTCCTGCCTGGATATAATCTGGGGATTCTGGAACACCAGCACGGCTTCTCCACTGGATTTCCCAGAGGATTTCCCTCTTCCCCTGGATCTCCAGAGGAAGAGACTGCACCCTTCTCCAGGATCCCTGCTCCAGCAGAACCAGCCCTGACACTGCAGGAGGGCTGAGCCACAATTCCAATGGGACTGCTGCCAACAGCCTGACCCACAGGGTGTCAGGTTGGGTTCTGAGTCTGTCAGGGTTGGTTTGGTTTACTGCATTGTTCATTTTATTATTGTATTTGTTGGGAATCTGCCCTGATGAAGGCAGGAATGGTGAATCTGACTCCATGTTCTCAGAAGGCTGATTTATTACTTTATAATACTGTATTGTATTAAAGAATACTATACTAAAGAATATAGAAAGGATATTTACTCAATGCTAAAATGGTAATAATGAAAACTGGTGACTCTTTTCAGAGTCCTGACACAGCTTGGCCCTGATTGGCCAAAGAGTGAAAACAACTCACAGCAGAACCCAATGGAACAATCACCTGTGGGTAAACAATCTCCAAACACATTCCACGTGTGAGCACAACACAGGAGAAGCAAATGAGATAAGGATTGTTTTCCTTTTCTCTGAGGCTCCTCAGCTTCCCAGGAGAAAAATCCTGGGCAGAGGAATTATTTCAGAGAATGTGAATGCCACATTTTATCTTTTTATTTTTCTGCCCTAATAAAGAACTGTTATTCCTGCTCCCATATTTTTGCCTGAGAGCCCCATAATGTCAAATTTATAACAATTTGGAGGGAGGGGGTTTACATTTTCCATTTCAGGAGAGGCTCCTGCCTTCCTTAGCAGACACCTGGCTTTCCAAACCAAGACAACCCCAAATGTGCCACACACAGAGCTGGCATCCTCCTGGAGACATGTCCCATCCCTGGCAGTCTCCAAGACCAGGTTGGATGGGGCTTGGAGCACTCTGGGATAGTGGAAGGTGCTCTGCCTATGACACGGAGTGGGATGGGATGAGCTTTAAGGTCCCTTCCAACCCAAACCACTCTGGAATTCTGGAATTTTATTCCTACTTCTCCTTCATGTTCCCACCTATGCTTGGGTGATGCAAAAACCCACCCAGAGCTTCACTCTGCCTCCCCAGCCAAGGCAAACAGAGGTCTCAGATTCCATCCAAGGGACACAACCCACACAAAACAGCCCCCAGGAGGTGATCCAGTTTTTGTCTCAGTGAAGAAACCCAAAAATGCAGGTGAGGTCCAAGCCCCACATTGGAGCAACACACACAGGCTGCACCCACCCACTCTTGGTGGAGTAGTCAGATGATGCTTTGTCTCACAATTCCCTTCTGGTAAGAGGGGTTAAAGTACTCAAAGAAAAGCTGAGAAAGTGGGAAAAGCAAAAATAGGAGAAGTCTGAGCAAATAAAAGGGCATTGGGGACACCAAGCCATGACAGCAATTTCCTAGAAGTTTGAGGAACTTCAGCCCTGGAGGCTCCAGATGGCACTGCTCAGAGGAAGGGTGTGACAGGGGAAATCAGCTGCCTCTGCAGTTTTTGGAGTCCAGTCTGGTTTGTTTTTCAAACAAACTGTGACACCAAAGAATCCCAGAATGGTTTGGGTTGGAAGGGACCTTAAAGCTCAGCCAGTTCCGCTCCCCTGCCATGGCAGGGACGCCTTCCATTGTCCCAGGGTGCTCCAAGCCCTGTCCCAACCTGGCCTTGGACACTTCCAGGGATCCAGGGGCAGCCACAGCTGCTCTGGGCACCCTGTGCCAGGGCTTCACCACCCTCACAGGGAGGAGTTTAGGTCATCAATGATACAAGTGGAGGGAACTGCAGATAATTCATTTCCATGATGTCCAGCTCTTATGGAGGCCTTTCCCTTCCTCCATCACAGCATTTATCTCTCTGGGACCAACCACTGCAAACCTCACTGTGAGCTGATGTATTTACAGTAATTAAATGTAAAAAACCTTAGGGCAAAGTAGGACAAAACTCTAAAAAAACATTTAATTCAGGGATGTTGAACATATTAAACTTCTGTGGGTTTTACAGAGATTCTTTGGCTTGGTCATGGCTCAGAGGAGTGAGGATTCTTGTTCCCTGTATCTAAAATGCATCACCTTGTTCAGCAGCCTTTCATAAGCATCTGTGAGGGGGTGAGGCACTGGAAGGATTCCAGAGAAGATGCCCCTGGATTCCTGGAAGTGCCCAAGGCCAGGCTGGGCAGGGCTTGGAACAACCTGGAATAGTGTAAGGTGTCCCTGCCCATGGCTGAGGGTAGAACTGGATGGGCTTTAAGATTTCTTCCAGTCTAAACCATTCTGGGGCTCTACTATATGATTCTATAAGGAAATATTTTATAGACTGCCAGAAAATCACCAAATTCCCCAGCTACACTCTGTCCTGAAATGCCTTCTCCTCTTCCTGGTACTGAGGGCTTGTGCTGTTGCTCAACAGCTTTCCATTTATACAGCAGGACCATTGAGTGGGTAACACGAGTCTTGCATTTCAATCAAAACCATCTGCAAACAAATGCTTGGCAGCAATCTCTGACAATAACGACCTCATGCAAAGCATTTCTTCCTCAATGCCTTTTCCCCTTCATTAGTGACCAGCCCAGCAGGTGCCTGCTGAGCAAACAGCTTTGCTCACAACAGAATTGTGTATCCTGCAGCTCTTTTTCGTCTGGAAAAGGTCTACAGGATGCACAAAAGAGGAATCAGCTTTCTGTGACCTGGGAGCCATAAATATTTTCTCCTTGAGCACTGAGCTCAAGAATGGCTTTTCATTTTCTGAAGAAGGGAAGTGAGCCTGGCTCTTGCATAAGGAATTCCTGTAAGTGTTTACTTTGTGCTTACAGTGGAGAAGTCCATCAGCTACAGTAGCTTCACCCACAAATCACAGCCAAAATCCAGATTTGGCAGAAGGACTATCAATGTAAACTGCACTAAATATTCCTGCTAAACAGGAGCAGGCTGCAGACTCCAGGAGCAGGGAGGTGGATTCTTGCATGTGTCAGCTCTGAGGGAACAAAGGCTTCTTCTTCTACTGGTACCTTGAGAGATCACCCTGTCCTCTGCTTTTTTTTCCTTCTATCAGCTGGGCTGAAATCCTCAGGAAAGAGAAGTATTAACTGATGCCTGGAGCAGTTTGGTTAATAGAAATGTATCCCCAAGGTATTTGCATTTTTATTCTCCATGCTCACCACAAAAACGCCAGTGTGTCATCAGGAATGCATCACACCTCTGAGGAACTAATGCAAATAATTCTCTGCTGCACTGCAGGCTGTTAAACTCACACCTGGAAAACAGGCCAAGGACCTCCTGGGATTTTTAACTCTGCCTTGACAGCTAATTCCTGATGGAAATGAGATGCCAGGGCAAGCTGGAAATTCCCCCTGGATCCAGCTGCATCTCTAGGCACTGAAGCACCTCTCACACTCCAACCCAAAGGATTTTGTCCCTTGCTGGAGTGTTAATGACACAGGTAAGATCCCATTCATTCCCACCTGGCTTCGAGTCAGGGATGCAATTCCAGCAGGAGTGCAGCTCCATGGCAAGACAACATTTCTTTCCCAGCTTCCAAAGCCTTTTGCAGCACCCAGACTCCATGTCCACTCCACTGCTAGCCCAAGCAGTCACAAGCAGCTTCTTTTCTGCCTGTTTTTGGTAACTGGGGGCAACCACCAGAGCAAGGGAAGGCACTGCAGTGGCTATCCATCATTTTTTCCTCCCTCACACACTGATGGTGTAATTTTTCCAGCCTGGTTTTTATTTTCAGAAAGGTTTGCTCCTGTTTGTGTGAGGAACACAACCACATCCATGGGGGCTGAAGGACTGAAAACAGCAGGAAGGTGACCATGGACAGGCTGAGAACTGGTGGCAGAGCCAAGGTGACAATTCCCTTTGGATGAGTCCTGAGCCATCTCCCTGCAGGAAAAAGTCACTTGTAGCCATTTAATTCAGGGATGTTGAACTTATGAAACTTCTATGGGCTTCAGAGAGATTCTCTGGCTTGGTCATGGCTCAGAGGAGTGAGGACTCCTGTTCCCTGTATCTAAAATGCATCACCTTGTTCAGCAGCCTTTGATAAGCATCTGTGAGGAGGTGAGGAATACAACCACATCCATGGGGATGAAGGACTGAAAATGAAACAGGAGGAGGGTGACCATGGACAGGCTGAGAACCAGTGGCAGAGCCAAGGTGACAATTTCCTTTTGGATGAGTCCTGAGCCATCTCCCTGCAGGAAAAAGTCACTTGTAGCTGTCCCTCAGCACAGTGACACTTGCTCCAGGCACTGCCTTTCATTAAGAGCAGATCAGTTTGAATTCTTCCCAAAGAAAAAGAGAAACCACTTACAAAGCCAAGGCATCATCTTCAAAATACATCCCCATCCTTACGTGGCCACTTAGGATGTTTCCTGCCTCTTCAAAAGCCTCCCTGGCTGGAAGAAAGACAAAGACACAAGAATAAACAATACAAAGAGAGGTGTTGAGGTTTTTTCCTGGAAACCTGATTGATGCCTGCACACATAACATCCTGCCAGAGCAGATTTTCAGGAATTAAACCAGGATTAGAGGCTCCCAAGAAATTACTGCAGGCCGTGGGAGGAGGGGCAGGCAGAGAGGAAGGATTAGGGCAAAATTCCCATTATGAGAACAGTGTTTGCCCTTCAGCTACCAGCACTGAGCCTCCAGGATCTGCAGGACAGAGGCACTGCTGGAAAGTGAAATATCTTTAAGGACTTAGAGTCTGTAAGTGTTCTTGGAAACAGGAGACCAATTATAAGTCTAAACAAAAATCTTATAAATCCCAGTGACCTTTGAGAAATGATGGATGGTGGCTTTACTGGAGTAGGGCTAAGAGCCTGGAGATAAACCAACCTCTCCCTCAAGTGTCTCTTGGTTTATCCAGCTCTTCCCAGCAGACTGGGGCTGTTGCAGGATAAGGAAAAACCAGGCTTGGCTCTCTTGATCACTGAGAGCACAGCTCCAAAACAAAGCTGGCTGCAGAGCTGCTTCATTCCCTTATAAAAAGCCTCCAATTCCACAGAATTCCAGAATGATTTAGGTTGGAAAAGACCTTAAACTCATCTTGCTCCACTCCCTGCCATGGGTAGGGATTCCTTCCATCAGCCCAGGTTGCTCCAAGCCCTGTCCAGCCTGGCTGTGGTTTCAGGGAAAGCCAAGCTTTGTGGGAACATGCAAGGCACGGTGAAGAACTTGTGAAATGCAGAGATCAGAGCTCCAGAGAGCTGCTGCCAAAGGTGGGGTGAGAACAGGGAGGATTTCAACACCACCACCCCCCTCCTCCTCTGCACTGAGCAACTGAAACAACAAAAGCAGCTCTTCTGACCCAAGGAGAGGGAGAAATCTCACTTTTTGGAGAAGCTAGGTTTTTCCTGAGAATTAAAGGGGTATCTCAGACACAGCCATGACATAAATTGCTGTCACACACCAGTGACTGCTCCTCAGAACCTTCACTGTCACAGCACAGGCCAGCCCAAGCTCCTGGGAGCAGTGACTCACAGCTCAGTAGATGGAGCTGCCTCTCAATTGGTGACTTTGTGACTTTTTGGTTCCTTGATTCCTGTTTTGCAGCTACACTCAAAGCTGTGTTTTCCACTGTTTCCCATGTGGCCCATAAACTTTCATTTAAACTGTTTTCCTTTTTAAATGGAAGGAGTTCCTTAAGGAGTGGCTCATTGAGGGCTCAGTCATTATCACAGAATCTCTGAATGGGATGGGATGGAAGGGACATTAAAATCAGCCAGTGCCACCCCTGCCATGGCAGGGACATCTACCATTGTCCCAGGCTGCTCCAAACCCCATCCAGCCTGGCCTTGGGCACTGCCAGGGATCCAGGGGCAGCCACAGCTGCTCTGGGCACCCTGTGCCAGGGCCTGCCCACCCTCCCAGCCAGGAATTCCTTCCCAAAATCCCATCCATCCCTGCCCTTTGTCAGTGGAAGCCATTCCCTGTGTCCTGTCCCTCCAGGCCATTGTCCAAAGCCCCTTTCCAGCTGCTCCAGAGAAACCATTCTTGGATGTTGCTTTCCAGCTCTTCTGGTGTTTGGTTACTTCATTTTATCACTGCTGAAAGAAAAGTTCCCATCCCAAGTTCCTCCACCAAGCTTTAAATCCTCACTTGAGATATGAACTTGTCTTGAAGTGCTGCCCTGGCTCAGCCCTGGCTGCAGGGATTCCCTCCTAAGCCAGAACAACCTCCTTGACCTGATGAGATCCTCTCTCCCTATCACACTTCCAAATTTTCCCTATTTCTGGCTGTCCTAGAGCCACACACCAGCCCATATTTCTCCAGGTTCTTTGCTTTGTACCCAAACTCCCCACAAATTCACACAGCTCCACTGAGGACAGGAAGCAATTAAAAAAATCCATTTCAATATTTCCTAGGAAATTTTTCCCCCCTGAAAACACAACTTTCATTCCCTGAGGAGGCTGACCATGCTCTGCAGCACAGTCCTTGAGCTGGAATCCCAGCTGCCCTGAATTGCACAAAGCACAACCTCACTGCTTTGGGGACAAGAAGGGCTCAAACTGCCTCATGAGGAAGGGTCTAAAATCCCTTCAGGGTTTTGGGAAGCAGGATCTGAGCCTCACTCGTTACCCCTCTGGAAGGAGGAATCTTCTCCTAAGTCAGAACAACCTCCTTGACCTGATGAGATCCTCTCTCCCCATCACACTTCCAAATTTTCCCTATTTCTGGCTGTCCTAGACCCAGAGCCACACACCAGCCCATATTTCTCCAAGTTCTTTGCTTTGTACCCAAAACCCCCTCAAATTCACACAGCTCCACTGAGGACAGGAAGCAATTAAAAAAATCCATTTCAATATTTCCTAGGAAATTATCCCCCCCTGAAAACACAACTTTCATTCCCTGAGGAATGTGATTTGTGATTGTGCTCTGCAGCACAATCCTTGAGCTGGAATCCCAGCTGCCCTGAATTGCACAAGCACAACCTCACTGCTTTGGGGACAAGAAGGGCTCAAACTGCCTCATGAGGAAGGGTCTAAAATCCCTGCAGAGTTTTGGGAAGCAGGATCTGAGCCTCACTTTTTACCCCTCTGGAAGGAGGAATCTCCTGAGTGTGCTCTCCAGCACAGCAGCTCCTGCTGCATCTCTCCTGCCTTCCTCACTGATGCTGCCAAGCCCTGTGAGGCACCAGATCTCAGGGATATTTTAAAATATTTTCAAATATTCCTGAATTTTTTACTTCTTAAGATGCTTCCAGTTTCTGCATCAAAACCAAATTTCTGTCCTAAAAGTTCTCTTGAGTTTCCAGAAAAACGTCATAATGCATTCACCTCTTCCTAGAAAATTTTATTTAGGATTTTTCCACAAAGCCTCTTTTAGCTCAGACCCCACAAAGGGTTTCTTAACATAGTCCTGATGCTGAGGGTTGGAAAACCTCCAGGATGTTTTTAGCAGGACATCTCATTGCTGTGTTTCAGTTCACCAGAAATGACAATGACCCCACTCACTGCTGCTCGGGGTTAGAGCAGGAATTGTGCCATGGGAAAATGGTTGGGAATTATAAATCTGTAATTTGATAAATCTGCAGGTTGGTAGAGGGACAATGTGGTTCTCCTGACTCCTGCCTGGTCTGATGCCAGAACAGCTGGCTCAAGGTTCCTGCTCCCTCAGGCTGTTGTGCATCTCAGCTCCAGCATCCTCAGGAAGTGGGTGGAGAAGACATCCCAAATTTCATCTCCCTGTGCCTGAGTTACCCAGGCTGAGGATGCCATCCTGGACTGGAATGTGCCCTGAGGGAACAGACAATCCTACAGGATCCACAAAAGCTCTCTGGAAACCCCCAAGGCTCTTGTTGGCATGGAAGGAAATGAAAAACTTCTCTGTAGAATCCCAGAATGGTTTGGGTTGGAAAGGACCCCAAAACTCACCCAGTTCCAAACCCAAACCATGGGCAGGGACACCTTCCACCACCCCAGGGTGCTCCAAGCCCATCCAACCTGGCCTTGGACACTTCCAGGGATCCAGGGGCAGCCACAGCTTCTCTGGGCTGGGTTAAAGGGTTTTTTGGGATCAATTAAAGGTTTTTTGGGATCAATGTATTTACCAGATTAGATCTCCAGAGGAAGGCAGAGATTTGACTCTCAGCTGGCTCAGGGAACACAGCCCAAGTGTTTTCTAGTTGGTTCCAGGCATTCTGTCTTGTTCTTACCTCTTCCCTCTGGACCCTCTCACGTGAGAAAGTATCTTGGTTTGCATTAAACCAAAGTTAGAGGCACAAGGGAGCTCTAAAATGAAAAATAGTCTAAAAGTTTGATCTTAAGTAAGATCAGGAAGTTCCCCTATTTTTAAGGCAGCAGTTCCCAGGGGGAGCTGGCAACTGAGAGTCTGTGGGGTTGGCAGATCTCAGCTCCCAACTGAGGCCCTGGCCCAGGGTGCCCAGAGCAGCTGTGGCTGCCCCTGGATCCCTGGCAGTGCCCAAGGCCAGGCTGGACAGGGCTTGGAGCAGCCTGGGATGGTGGAAGTGTCCCTGCCATGGCAGGGGTGGGATGGGATGAGTTTAAGATCCCTTCCCACCCAAATCACTCCATGATTCTGTGATTTGCCTGAAGTTCTCTCTCCAGACTGACTTTATTCCCTCTCCCTTGGTAACACATTGCACATTTCTGTGTCCATCTATTCCAAAACCCACAAGTGGATTTCATTGAGTTGTTCACATTTCCTTCCTTCTGATGCAGGAAATTTCTGCTTTATCCTATTGCTGTTCTGTTATTAAAAAAAAATAATGTTTTGGATTGTGTGTTACAAGAACTGGGGCTACTGCTTCTTCAGGAGAAGCCAGCAAGATCCAAGAGTGGATCTCTTCCTTTTTTAAGAAAATTCTGCTGGGAGAAGTTGCACATGGGCTCCAGGAAGAGGCTGATGGATCTGGGCTGAACCAGAGGCTTAAAGGGAATTTAGCGCCAGCCTAAAACCACTTGGAAGGGACTCATAAAGAGGACAGAGCCAAACTCCTCAGGGTCAGGGGCAGGAGGCACAACAGGGACAACAGGTTTGGGGAGTTGTTACTCCCACTGTGGGTGTAGCAAACCCAGCTGAATGTCCTCTGAGCCAGGGATGGATCTGAAATCCCACTCCTGGAACCACCTGCTGCCCTCTGACTGTACAGCTGGAAAAGGCAGTGCCAGGTGTTGTGCTGTGAACTTCCAGCAGCTGGAAACATCCCTGTCCCACCAGGAATGAAGCTGGAGAGTGCTAAACCCACCAATCCCAACAAACCTTTGCTGGTGGCTGAGCTAAACACTCCCAGGAGGGAGGGGTGGTGGTGGGATGGGAGCTCAGATGGAAATTCCCCTCTCAAATATCCTTCTGCTTCATCCATGGTGGCCAGCTTCAGTGGGCAGGGAACTTGGCTCCTGTGGAAAGGCAGAGAAAGAACCCGGGCTGTTGGTTTTGCTGCTTTTGGGATGAAGAGACAACAGGGCAACCTCAACCCAACAAGGCCCCATCACAATGGGACAAGTGTGACGCCTCATTAGAGACACAAATGATCATTTGGCACGGTGATAATTATCACCAGAGAGGTGCTGGAGCTGGTGACAGCAAAGAGAGAACAGCCTGAGCCAAACTGAGAGCCTTGGGATCCCCACTGAAAATAACAGAGAAGGAATTCCAGCAAAAAGCCAGGGATGGTGACAGAGGATGTGGCAGATGTCCCACTGGGGATTTGTCACTCACAGCAGGATGAAGCTGCTCAGCTCTTCAGCTCCCCACATGCCACCATATGTCACTGGCTGCTGTCCCTGCTGGTAAATCCTCAGGGTGGGGAACTGGGTGACATTCTCCTGGGAGCAGAGGCCAGGCCAGTCCCAGCAGTTCACCCGGGACAGCAAAACCCCTGGGGTTCCTGGAGTGGAAAAAAATACTCATGAATGATATGAAAAACTAAAAACAACAATCAATTGGTTGGAAAATAGAGCTTTTTATTACCCCTGTGGATATTATTGTCTATATTTGTATTAATTCTGGCAGAAATCTACCAAAATCCAGCCCCAAATACAGAATCCCTTTGAGTACAGCCCCATTTCCCTCTTGGAATCACTCATTCCCAGAAAATTCACATCTGACTGGTAACTCCAAGCAACACCACAAAATCCTGAGATAACTGGTCCAGGAGCTTAAAAGGCAGTAGGGAAAGGTATTGGAAATACCTTAGGAATAAGGCCAAGAGAAGGAAATAATGCAGGCACTCACTAACAGGAGAGAGGGAAGATAAAGCTTGCCATGATGGAGGAGGAGGAGGATGCAACCAAGGTTTTTGCATTTATTAAGTTGTTCAATATTGAAAAATCTCTGTTCTACCTCAAGCATGAAGCCAAATACACATGGAGCAGTTGAAGGGGATGGAAGAGAGATGTCCCATCCACTGCCCTCAGGCACAGGGTGGGATTCTTGGGGCTGTCCTGAGAGTTGGGCTTGATGATCCCTGTGGAAGTCAGGATTTTCTGTGATCCCACCCAAGCCATGAGCAGACACCTGTAGGACCTTAAGAAAGGGGTCTCACGAGTAAAGGAAGCACTTGGGAATTACAGAGCAGTCAATCCAACTGTGGGTCCTGGGAAATGTCCCAAAAAGGCTTTTTAAGGGTCTCACCAACACAAGGAACTCAAGAGGTTGGTAAGAAGTGAAACAAATGGAAAGTTGGTTCCTTGAGTGCTCTCTATGAGCCCAAAGTTTCCAAAACTCCAGCATTTAGTTCAGCAAAGAATCATGGAGTCACAGAATGTTTGGGTGGGAAGGGACCTTAAAACTCATTTAATTTCACCCCCTGCCATGGCAGGGACACCTCCCACCATCCCAGGTTGTTCCAAGCCATTTCCAGCCTGGCCTGGGGCACTTCCAGGGACCTTTCCAGCCTTTCTTTCATCTTTGGGCTGGGTGAAGCCAGCACAGGCTGCTGTTGGTCCATGGCTAAGCCTGACCTGAATCCTGACCAGCTTCACTCCCTCCCTTCCCTTGGCTTCCAGCCTCACCTGAGCTGCCTCAGGGCCCTGACCAAGGACAGTGTGCCCAATCTCAGAAATCTTCATTCCTTCCCCAAATCCCTCTTTGAACAAGACTCAAAAACTGCATGGGAAAGATGGGATAAAACCTAGAGACAAGTACACACATGGAGGCAGAGCATGGCAAAGAATCCTCCGGAAACCAGGCTTGGGGCAGATGATGAGGGCTTTTCAAGAGAAACCAGCAAGCTTTCTTCTCTCCCTCTCCTGGCTCTGATTCTGATCACTATTTTCATTAAAGGCCTGGCTGATGGAATAAAACACATCCAATCTGGTTTTGATCTCCAGCCTAGAGAGGCAGAAAGCAATTTGAAGGGCAAAGTGTGAGGACAGCAGCAATCCATGAGGAGAAGCAGGATGCAGGAAAGGGATGGACACTCAACAGCATCTGCAGCCCATGGGAAGGAAATTAAGTTCTTCTGTCCTGGTGAAACTTCTGCAGAGCCCAGCAAGTCAGCCTGGGAAAGGTTTTTGGAAAGATTTAAGCAAATGAGAATCTGGAGCAGTTCAAAAGATTTTCCTCTTGAGGAAAAACCCAACCGAGTTTGTCCTGGAAATCACCAGAGAGAGAGAAACAATGAAATCCAACAACATCTCAGGGGTGCTCTGAGGGGCAGTGGGAGCACTGGGCAGGGTCAAGCAGCAGCCCATGCCAAGGTGGGGAGGGCTGAGCAAATATTGAAACAAGTTCCTGAGAACTGAGCCCAGCTGAGCGTTGCACAAATGTTGTGCAGAGGAGCTGTGGAGCCCCTGAGCCCTGGGAGGGCTCCAGGCCAGGCTGGACAGGGCTTGGAGCTCCCTGGGATGGTGGAAGGTGTCCCTGCCCATGGCAGGGGTGGGATGAGATGGAGATTTGAGGTCCCTCCCAACTCAAACCCTTCTGGGATTCCATGAGGGTTTCTGTAGATGGGGTGAAGGCAGAGGTGACCTCAGCAGGAGTTCCTGCTCCTTATCCCTGCACCCTTGGCCTCCCACAGGACCATTTTCTGCAACCTTCATTTGAGGTTCTGCTCTGCAGCTCACATCAGGAGTTTGCTGTTCTGCCTTGTGTCAAACTCTTGTGCAGAAACAGCAGGAAGTGAAGGGCCTGCAAATCCACTCAGACAATAATTGTCCAAACACTCCACAAGAGCAGAAATGGTTTGTGTCATTCCCAGACTCTGCAAGAAGATCTCAAACTGAAAGCCTGAGCTCAGATTTGCTTCACACCTCCGAGCCAGTAGAGCTGGTTCTCATCATCTCTTACCACATCATCTTGTGTCTTGCCCAACTCTGGAAAATAATTCCATGGAAATGGGGCTTTGATGTCCTGCTAAAATCGAGTTGTGAGGCTGTGTGAAGCCTTTTCAAAGATGAATTTTAATATTTGGATATTAGCTCAGGGAATAATTTACCATGTGCTCTGAAGGAGCCCCATCTGGCCTGGAAAACATCTGGTACAGGATGGTCCCTCCCATCCCAACCTGCAACATTTCATTAATGACTGAACAAGCAGAACTTGCAGGAACTGAGTAACTCGGCAAGGGACTGTCCAGCCCTGTGGTCACTGCTGAGGGGGAGGAAAGGTGAAAGAGGAGCAAAAAATCCTCACTGTGGTTTTAGGTGCTACTAAACCCAGCAACAGCAAGGACCTCTGTCCTAGAGGTCTTAGAAAACCAGGACAAGACAAACCATCAATGCCATAGGGAAGAGTCAAAATCAGGAATCCCTTGAACTTAAAATCATTTGAACTTAAAATTATTTGGAAGACAGGACTGGCATGGTGCTTGAGCATGTTCAGGGAAAGGAATGGAGATGGGGAAGGGGCTGGAGCACCAGGAGAGGCTGAGGGAGCTGGGAAAGGGCTGCAGAATCCCTGAGGGAGCTGGGCAGGGGCTGCAGAATCCCTGAGGGAGCTGGGCAGGGGCTGCAGAATCCCTGAGGAGCTGGGCAGGGGCTGCAGAATCCCTGAGGGAGCTGGGCAGGGGCTGCAGAATCCCTGAGGGAGCTGGGCAGGGGCTGCAGAATCCCTGAGGAGCTGGGCAGGGGCTGCAGAATCCCTGAGGAGCTGGGCAGGGGCTGCAGAATCCCTGAGGAGCTGGGCAGGGGCTCAGCCTGGAGCAAAGGAGGCTCAGGGGCCCTTGTGGCTCTGCACAGCTCCTGCCAGGAGGGCACAGCCAGGTCGGGCTCTGCTCCAGGGAACAGGGACAGGACAAGGAGAAATGGCCTCAAGTTGTAACAGAGGAGGTTTAAATTGGATGTCAGGGAAAATTCCTTCATGGAAAGGTTTGTCCAGCCCTGGCACAGCTGCCCAGGACAGTGGTGGAGTCCCCATCCTTGGAGAGATTAAAAAGCCGTGTGGATGTGGCACCTGGGGACATGGGACAGCAATGGACTTGGCAGTGCTGGTTGGACTCGATTTTGGAAGGTTTTTCCAACCTAAACAATTCCATGATTGTATTAAAAAACAGCTCACTTGAAGGGCTGGTCCAAAGGCTACAACATGAAAGAGAAGTTATGTACAAAGTGCTTCACTCCCAGAGGAAGAATCCAATACAGAATGGGAACATCTACACCTGGAAAACATCACCCAGTGAACCCTGAAAACATCACCCAATGAACCCTGAAATCCTCACTCTGGTGTTAGGCTCCATGGATATAAATTGCTAAATCATGCAGCTGGTTTTTCTGCCTTTGAGCTACAATTTCACCTTGGCTTTGCAAATCCCTGCTCAAGAAGACCCCAGGAGCACAGAGGAGAGAAGCAGAACCATTTTCCATCACAATTTATTGCTCCTCTTAGATACTGATTTCCTCTCTTCTTTGCAAAAAAAGGCCAATAACCCACCCAAGAAATGCTCAGCACTTCTCACCTTCATATCCTCTGCTCTTAACCCTGCTGCTTCCAAAAATTCCCATCTCCCAAAACAAACCAGAGGTGCAGCACTGAGCCCCAGGGGGATGGGAAATTGTGGCTCCGAGGGTCGAAAACCTGCTCAGTTCAGCAAGGCAGAGATAGATGCTCCTCTGGATCTCTCAATAAATGGAAAACACTTGAGGGCTGGAAGCTTCCCTTGGTGAGGATCTGCTGAGCATCTGGAAGGGGATGACTCACGAGGTCATTGCAGTCTCCAGCCTCCTCCACTCCCCTGTGTTTGATCCCACACGGCCTGTTCTCAGTGCCATTGTGCACAAAGAATTGGCACGGGGAGCAGGACCTGCTCCTGCAGCTCACAAAGTGCCTCCAGCACGGGTGATTCACCCCTCAGACAGCTGCTGCTGGATTCCCAGCCCTTGGGAAGGAAGCTCCACCCCGGAGCAGGCAGGAATACCAGAGCTTCTGGGGAACTCAGAGTGCCCCAAGCCATTCCCCGTGTCCTGTCCTCAGTCCTGCACAGCTTGAGGTCTTCGTGCTCCAGCCATCACTGAGAGCCCAGGGAACAGCATCCTCTGAGGTTCTCCAGCTCCTGTGGTAGCTGGTTCTCCCAGCTCCCTGAGGCTCCTTCAGCAGCAGGGAAAAAGGATCTCCAGATCCCCCAGTGCAGCTGTTCTGTGTCTGCTCCCAGGTCATGGCAGGGAAAGCAGACTGGAGTCACTCCACAGGGTCACATCTGGCCTGGGAGTCTTCGCAGAGACCTCAGTGATCACAGAGGAAAGGCCCTGACCCCAGGCAGTTCATGATCTCTGCTGAGAATCTGTCTGTGGCTGCTTCCCTGCCCTGAGATTGTTATCAAGTGATTCAGAACACACATGGTGAAATCCTGGCTGGGCAGAACCCACCAAGGGTTGGCCATTGGCTTGGGAAAGGGCTGGTTTTACCCTCAGACCCTGTGCTGCTTGGGAAGGGGCTGGTTTTACCCACAGACCCTCCTGTGCTGCCTGGGAAGAGTCTGGGTTTTACCCACAGACTCTCTTGTGTTGCACCTTTAGCTGGTCTGGCTGCTGGGGAAGTCCAAAATAAATCCCAAACCACCACCAACCCCACAACAACAACCTCTGCTGTCCCTTCCTGTTTATTCCTGGGACTTCAGTCCAGATCAAAGCTGCTGCTGACTTTCCCTTCATGAATTCATGCAGACCATGACTGCAGAGCTGCTTTCCTCCAGCCCTCAGGACTGCCTGCAGCATTCCCAGGAACAGCTTTTGTAAGCAATTCCCACTGCAGCTGCTTCCCAGAAAACTGTGGGGTCCTCTGCACACCCCATTCATGTTCCCACTGCTGAATCCTGCAGGACACAGTGCCCAGTCCCAGGAAAAATGAGCCTCGATGGAGAAGAAACCAGGAGAAGGCACCAGCCACCTCCAGAGGTGCTGGAATGGCTCTTGGCCAGGTCCATGTGAGTTCCCCACTGTGCCACAGTGGGGTGAAGCCACCTCAGTGTCCCCTGCAGCCAAGGGGAGAAAAAAGGCACCTCTGGATGAGATTAATCCCATGTAAGAACCTCTCTCCACAAACCAGAGTGGGATGGGGTTGGAGGCCTGAATGTGGGGCTCACACTGCACAGACCCTGCTGAAGGATCCCTCCTGCCAGATTTTTGCTCCCAGATTCCCTGATGTGCTGTCTCTAAGTGCTGCTCATTGCTCACCATCCCTGTGTTATTTATGGAGTTCTGGGGCCACCTGTGAGAATTCCCACAGCTGAGCCAGACTGCAAACCCTGGAGGCACCATCCCTGCAAATGTGACATTGTCCTGCCCTGTGCCCTGGCCTGCCCACACCTCTCTGTCCCATTTTCCTCCAAAGCCAGGGAAAATCACAGCTCCTTTTTCCAGCACAGCTGAGGTGCCAGCCAGCACATTGATGTGTCTCCTGGGCAGGACAGGAGCCTGTTTCCATGTTCCAGGCCACAGTTCCTGCTGTTTGCTGCTCTGTGTCACCCCCTGGCCCTTCCCAAATTCTCCCTCATGCAGTCACTGTGCCCAGCAAAGGGGATCACGGAGCCATTTGGATTGGAAGGGACAGGGACACTTTCACTATCCCAGGTTGCTTCAAGCCCCATCCTACCTGGTCCTGAATTTTTCCAGGATAAAATCATGGAATAGTTTAGCTCCAAGATCACTGAGTCCAACTGTGCTGCCACCACTGTCCCATGTCCCCAAGTGCCACATCCACATGGCTTTTAAATCCCTCCAGGGATGGGGACTCCACCACTGCCCTGGGCAGCTGTGCCAGGGCTGGACAACCCTTTCCATGAAGAAACTTTCCCTAATATCCATCCTAAATCTCTCCTGGTGCATCTTGAGGCCATTTCCTCCTCTCTTGTGTTTTTTTCTCTGGGAGCAGAGACTCTGCAAAGATCCCTAAATCAGACACAAAGGTTCCTAAACCACCTGCTGTGGATATGGCTTTCCTTAGGAGTGTGAGGGGTGAAAAATGAGTGTATTCCAGTGAATGAGGTGCCACCAATGCCTTGTTTCCTCGTGCCAAGAGGAGCAGGGGAAGCCCTGGGGTTCCTTACCCTGCAGGCGAGCGGCCACCTCGGAGTAAGAGCGCAGCACGGCCAGGGACACAGCTTCCCCTGAAACACAGGAGAGGGGACACAGCCCTGAGGGACAGCCAGGGGACAGCCAGCCCCCCCCGCTCCCTGACAATGCCACATTATCAATCTCTGCATCCTGAGGTGCTTTAAGCTCTGAGGATTTGAAATAAATAAGGAAAATTTAACTTCATGCTTCATGTCTAGGCCAGCCCATGAGTCCATGCTACATTAATTTCCCCTCTTGTCCCACATTTTTTTCTTATAAAATAAAGGTTAAAAATCTCTTAATATCAGAATAATATCTGCTATTATCAGCCAACGAGAAGAACTGATTTAATCTGTTATTAATTGTATTTAATTAATTGTATTTAATCCCTGCTCATGGGACAGGATGTGGCACAGATTAATGGCCAAAACTTTTCTCCATGATCTCTCCAGGATCATGGAAAGCACAGAGAACATCCCAAATTCACAGAAGGGACAGCCAGGCCACAGCTCATACTCACAGCTGGCATAGAACAGCACCACTGTCCTGGCAGCCTCTGGGAGGGAAGAGTGGAAGTTCTCCTCTGTCAGGACAAGGATCTGCTCCAGGGGCAGCTCCCTCTTCTTGTCCCTGGAAACTGCTTCCACCACCTGGTCATCCTGAATATCTGCAAAAAAAACCAAAAAAACCCCACAGGTGTGTTCAGGGCAGGGGGAACTGCAGCCCTTGGGCCACCCCAGTGCATGATTTTGTACTCCAGAACCTCTCAGCAGAGATGTGGGGTGAGTGAATTCTTGTATGGGGAGAGGAGGCACAGCCACACAAACAAACCCCCCCAAAATGCCCCAATCCCACCTCACACCAGCTCTGCCCTTGAGTGGAACAATACTCTAAGCTCCTCTAGGATCCTGCCCCCTTTCCTTTTTTATAGAAAACATCCCCAGATTTGCAGAGAGAACAAATTCATTCTCAATTCTGCATTGCAGGGATCAGTTTTCTCCCTGAAGGAAGCAAGTCTGGATCTGCTCTTACAAAAACGTGTCTCAAACCCTTCCAAAGGGGTGGATGGTTTTCAGATGCCTGTACAGGACACAGTGCTGGGTGCACTTTAACCCCCCCAGCCTTTGGAGCATCCAAGCACATTCCTGTCCCTCACACAACAGCTCTGATTTTTCTCTCTGGTGTTTCCACTAAAAATCAGACCTGTCACATCCCAGTGACCTCAGAAAATGAAAGAGCCACTTTGTGGCCACCATGAAGTGACTGTGATGGTTTGCAAGTGTTCTCTAATGCTCTGCCATGTCTGATGCTGATTGCACCTCCTGTCTGATGACAATAAGCTTTTCACTTGATTAATTGCACACCTTGATTGTTATTCTCTTGCTCATCCTCATCTTCCTCCTCCTCCTCCTGCTCATCCTCCTGGATTGGTTTCACCTTGTTCTTATCTTCCACCAGGGTTATAACTTCATCAGTGTCTTCCAAGACCAGGTATTGGATTGGCATTCCCTGAGGAAAACAATAAATCAGTGGCAGCACAACATCCCCCCCTGCTTATTTTGTCTGCAGATCAGACTCAAGGTTGATGGGAACCATCTCCCAACTCCTTATTTTTGGGATGTGTCACAGATCCCTGAAGCTGCCAAGCAGGGGAATGTCTGGGTAATGTTTCTTTGTTCCAGTTTCTCCTGTGCTTGAGTTTTTCTCACTCTAGGATTGATTGATTGATTGATTCTCATTCCAGGCTGAGGTTTCCTTGTAAAGGTAAGGAAAATTGGCTATGTAAGTAAATGTGGCTAGGAGGGATCCTGTGGTGAAAGTGAACACCAGCCCCATCTCCCAGCAACTTCACTCAGATCCAGCACTGCAGGAAATATCCCAGTGGACAAAGTGGAAAGGAGAGCAGGGAAGTACTTGGATATCCCCTCTTTAGAGGGGTCAGGCTGGGTCCAAGGAGCCCATCACAGCCTGGGAAACCAGCTCAAAAAATCCTTTATCTCATGGAGCTCAGCCAGGAGAAATGTTCCCAAGTGTACAGGGACTGGCCACCCATGAAAAGAAGCAAAAAAGCAACATGAATTTCTCAGAAATGAGACCTTGTCAGCTTAAAACCAGTGCAGGCACCAGCTCAGACAAAGGCACTGCAGAGAAAATGGAAAGTTGATCAGGAGCTGAGAGAAATGACAAAGTGCTGGCACCTCCCACGGGCTCCCAGAGCCACCCAAGTGCACATCTCTCAGCAGGCCAGGGGAAGCCCTCAGGGGATGCTCAGGTCTGATCCTGCACCTGAAATCACCAGTGGGACAGTTCAGGTAATCTGGGACATCTGTGCTCCCTGGCATCTGCCAGCAGCCCATTCCAGCCTGCCTCACAAGCTGGGTCAGGTCCCTGCAGGGTTGAACTCATCTTGAGCAGCCTCACTGAACTCCCACCCTGCCCTTCTCCCTGCCAGGGGCACTGGGTTACATCAGCCCAGCACTGAGCTTTGCTTGTTTGCTCTTTGTCTCACACCCAGCCCCTCTCCCATCTTTTGACACCTTTCAGAAATCCAAATCTTTTGGGGAATTTGCACTTGGATGGAGTTCACAACCTTGTGTTGCCTCAAGGTGTACTGGAGATGTCACTCAGTGTTTTGTACCTGAAATAAACTCACTGCTTTGTCCTTCCCATCAGGCACAGTGGCTCTGCAGCACCCAAATCATGGAAGGGACATGAAAGATGACCCAGTTCCACCCCTGCCATGGGCAGGGACACTTCCACTACCCCAGGTTGCTCCAAGCCCTGTCCAACCTGGCCTGGAACACTTCCAGGGGTGGGAAATCCACAGATTCTCTGGATAATCTGGGAAAGAAACTTCCCTTTGTTAAATCTCCCAGCTCCCTGCCAGAGGCACTGCCTTACCTCAGCCCAGCACAGAGCTTTGCTTGTTTGCTCTTTGCTTCACACTCAGTCCTTCTCCCATCTTTTGACACCTTTCAGAAGGCCTTCAGAAATCCAAATCTTTTGGGGAATTTGCACTTTCACGACCTTGTGTCGCCTTAAGGTGTAGTGGAGATGTCATTTAATGTTTTGAACCCAAAATAAACTCACTGTTTTCTCTTTCCCAGCAGGCACAGTGGCTCTGCAGCACCCAAATCATGGAATCATGGGAGGGACATGAAAGATCACCCAGTTCCACCCCTGCCATGGGCAGGGACACTTCCACTGCCCCAGGTTGCTCCAAGCCCTGTCCAACCTGGCCTGGAACACTTCCAGGGGTGGGAAATCCACAGATTCTCTGGATAATCTGGGAAAGAAACTTCCCTTTGTTAAATCTCCCAGCTCCCTGCCAGGGGCACTGGGTTACATCAGCCCAGCACTGAGCTTTGCTTGTTTGCTCTTTGTCTCACACCCAGTCCCTCTCCCATCTTTTGACACCTTTCAGAAATCCAAATCTTTTGGGGAATTTGCTCTTGGATGGAGTTCACAACCTTGTGTTGCCTCAAGGTGTACTGGAGATGTCACTCAGTGTTTTGTACCTGAAATAAACTCACTGCTTTGTCCTTCCCATCAGGCACAGTGGCTCTGCAGCACCCAAATCATGGAAGGGACATGAAAGATGACCCAGTTCCACCCCTACCATAGGCAGGGACACTTCCACTACCCCAGGTTGCTCCAAGCCCTGTCCATCCTGGCCTGGAACACTTCCAGGGGTAGGAAATCCACAGATTCTCTGGATAATCTGGGAAAGAAACTTCCCCTTGAGCTTCAGGGAATGCTGTTAAATCTCCCAGCTCCCTGCCAGAGGCACTGCCTTACCTCAGCCCAGCACAGAGCTTTGCTTGTTTGCTCTTTGCTTCACACTCAGTCCTTCTCCCATCTTTTGACACCTTTCAGAAGGCCTTCAGAAATCCAAATCTTTTGGGGAATTTGCACTTTCACGACCTTGTGTCGCCTTAAGGTGTAGTGGAGATGTCACTCAATGTTTTGAACCCAAAATAAACTCACTGTTTTCTCTTTCCCAGCAGGCACAGTGGCTCTGCAGCACCCAAATCATGGAATCATGGGAGGGACATGAAAGATCACCCAGTTCCACCCCTGCCATGGGCAGGGACACTTCCACTGCCCCACGTTGCTCCAAGCCCTGTCCAACCTGGCCTGGAACACTTCCAGGGGTGGGAAATCCACAGATTCTCTGGATAATCTGGGAAAGAAACTTCCCTTTGTTAAATCTCCCAGCTCCCTGCCAGGGGCACTGGGTTACATCAGCCCAGCACTGAGCTTTGCTTGTTTGCTCTTTGTCTCACACCCAGTCCCTCTCCCATCTTTTGACACCTTTCAGAAATCCAAATCTTTTGGGGAATTTGCTCTTGGATGGAGTTCACAACCTTGTGTTGCCTCAAGGTGTACTGGAGATGTCACTCAGTGTTTTGTACCTGAAATAAACTCACTGCTTTGTCCTTCCCATCAGGCACAGTGGCTCTGCAGCACCCAAATCATGGAAGGGACATGAAAGATGACCCAGTTCCACCCCTGCCATAAGCAGGGACACTTCCACTACCCCAGGTTGCTCCAAGCCCTGTCCAATCCAGCCTGGAACACTTCCAGGGGTGGGAAATCCACAGATTCTCTGGACAATCAGGAAAGACACTTCCTCTTGAGCTTCAGGGAATGCTGGCAAATCAATCCCAGAGATGAGCAACATCCCACCACCCTCTCCAAAGCTGAGTTGTCCAATGAAGAAATCCAGCATCCAACCTCATCTGGTGTCTTGAGGGCCACGTTTGAGCGCTGCAGAACGTTCAGCTCCACGAGGTCCCTTCCAAAACACAAAGTGAACATCAGATGGTGTGACATGGAAGGTCACCCCTCTTCTTTCTGCCCCAATTCCATCACTGCTAAGCTTCCTCTCCAAAATCTCTCTTAATCTGAATATTTTTCCACCCCTAAGCCAGTAAAACTTCCAAATTAATACAATTCTGGATAAATCCTTAAATATGAAACACTCTGTCCCAGGATATAGCCTGGTTTTACTGCCTCTCATCCAAGTGTGATTGAGTCCACTGACTGTCATGCTGGTGTTGGGGTAACCCAGCTCAGAAACCCCACAAAAAGCAAGGAGAACCCAAAAACACCAGAAAGACCTGAGAAACACCAGAAATACCAGAAACACCTGAGAGAAATACCTGGACAAAAGGGCAACTCCTGCTTTCCCCAGGAGCTGCCAGGCCACAAACTCTGCTGTCCTCCTGTCAGCCTCATAGGTCTCCTTCTGGCTCAGGATGAACACCAGGGGCAGCCCGAGCTGCAAGTGAACAGTGGAGATCTTCTCTGGGTCCTCAGCCACCTCTGTCTGGAGAACAGCCAGGGTTAACAGCCAGGGTTATGCTGCAGCACAGCTCCACAAGTTGAAGGTATCTCAGCCACAGCAATCCTCAGGAAAAAGCTTCCAACCCCAATTCTAAAACATCCATGGAAGCAGAACCCACACAACTCCAGTGAAGCTGTTCCAACATGTCATGACCTTCCCTGTTAAAAACCTGGGCTTTATTTTGTGGGGGTTTTTTTTGTGGTTTAGCAATTCCAGATGTCAAATCTCCACTCATTTTTATTTACCTGGCATCCACTCCCTGGAGCAGTTTGAAAATCCCAGCCACAACGTGCAAGAGCTGGAATCCTTCCCTTCCTGCCTTGGACGTGCTGCTTCATGACAGCACATGAGAGGTGCTTGATGAAGCTCCATGGGCCTGACCCAGGAAAATGGCTGAAGGAGCATTCCCAGCTCATCCACTCATCCTTCTGGATGGGCAGGGATGAGCACTGGCAACAGGAGGCTGCTGAAGTTATCTGCCCTTTGGAAGGGGGAAATAGGAGGGAACCTCCTGTCCCTGTGATCACCAAGGTGGGAAGGACTGATAGCAAATTCCAGAGGGTGCTGAAACTCCTGCAGGGAGCCTCAGGAGCAGCTGAGGACTTTGGGGTTGTCTAGTTTGGAGAAAAGGAAGCTGAAGGATGACCCCATTGCTCTCCACAGCTTCCTGAGGGGATGCTCCTAAGCATGAGGAGCAGCTGAGGACTTTGGGGTTGTCTGGTTTGCAGAAAAGGAGGCTGAGGGATGACCCCATTGCTCTCCACAGTTCCTGAGGGGATGCTCCTGAGCCTACAGGAGCAGCTGAGGACTTTGGGGTTGTCTTGTTTGAGGAAAAGGAGGCTGAGGGATGACCCCATTGCTCTCCACAGCTTCCTGAGGAGTAGCTGAGGACTTTGGGGTTGTCTATTTGGAAAGAAGGAGGTTGAGGGATGACCCCATTGCTCTCCAAGCTTCCTGAGGGGATGCTGCTGAGCCTACAGGATCAGCTGAGGACTTTGGGCTTGTCTAGTTTGAGGAAAAGGAGGCTGAAGGATGGCCTCACTGCTCTCCACAGTTCCTGAGGGGATGCTCCTGAGCCTACAAGAGCAGCTGAGGGCTTTGGGGTTGTCTTGTTTGAGGAAAAGGAGGCTGAGGGATGACCCCATTGCTCTCCACAGCTTCCTGAGGAGCAGCTGAGGACTTTGGGGTTGTCTAGTTTGGAGAAAAGGAGGCTGAGGGATGACCCCATTGCTCTCCACAGCTTCCTGAGGGGATGTGGAAAAGGAAACACTGATGTCTCCAGAGTATCCAGGGATAGAACATGTGGAAATGGTTCAAAGCTGCATCAGGGGAAGTTTACACAGAACATCAGGAAGGTTTCTTTAACAAGAGCACTGGAACCAGCTTCATATTGAGTTGGGCAGTGCTCAAGAGTCATTTGGAAAATGCCCTCAATAATTTATTTATGTTTTGGCCAGCCCTGAATTGGTGAGGCAGCTGCACCAGCTGATTCCTGCTCCCTGCCTGGAGCCACCCTGGAAGGGGCAGATTCCCACCCTCAGCCTTTCTCTCTTCTCTCACCTCCCTCATCCTCACCTCCCTCCCTGCCCTCCCAGCCAGGCAGCTCCTCCTTCCCAGTCCTACCACCAGTGGAGCCCCCATGAGCTTGAGGTGCCTGTGGATGTTGAGCAGGGTCAGGGGCTGTGCCAGGGCTGTCCTCCTGCAGGCCTGGGCTGGCTCTGTGACCTGCTGGCAGTGGCAGAACAGGAGCCAGGTAGAGGAGACATCGGGGTCATCAGGGCTGTGAGAGAGGAGACAAAATCCACCCTGAGCAGGGGTTCCAAGTGCCCTGACAGAAGGAGCAGGTTTGCTGATGTGTTGCACAGATTGTCCTCAAGCCCAGGGTTTGGCAGGGCTGTGGAACAGGCTGGGAGAGCTGGGGGTGCTCCCCTGGAGAGGAGAAGGCTCCAGGGAGAGCTCAGAGCCTCTTACAGAGCCTAAAGGGGCTCCAGGAGAGCTGGAGAGGGACTGGGGACAAGGCATGGAGGGACAGGACACAGGGAATGGCTCCCACTGACAAAAGGAGGGATGGTTGGGAGATTGGGAAGGAATTCTTCCCTGGGTGGGTGGAGAGGCCCTGGCACAGGGTGCCCAGAGAGGCTGTGGCTGCCCCATCCCTGGCAGTGCCCAAGGCCAGGCTGGATGGAGCTTGGAGCACCCTGGGACAGTGGGAGATGTCCCTGGTTAGCTGTGACACCCTCACTGCTGTTGGCCTGTGGGTAACTTTGGGAAGTCACTTTCCTTTTCTGATGCACCCGTTCCCTACCCCTAAAACAGGGATCACCTTCCTTGGGTAAGGATTTAAGAGCTCTATTAAGCCCTATTAAGACCTCAAATCCCTCTGCCCGGGTCGGCTGGAAGCTGTTCCTGCTGGAGAAGCTCCCAGCATTTCAGCAGCTCGGGAGGGGGCGGCGCTGCTTTGAGGAGAATTCAGGCGATTCCTGCGCAATGACAACCGTGCCATCTAGCGGGAGCCACGGCACTAACTCGAAACGCTGCAAGGAGGGAACGGCACCTCGGCAAGGGCCACCCTGCTGCCTGTGACAAAATCCCAGGTCACTCATGATGGAGTTATTGATGTTGGAAAAGCCCTCCGAGATCACTGAGTCCAAAAGTTCCCACAGCACTGCCAAGGCCATCACTGAGCCGTGTCCCCAAGTGCCACATCCACAGGGATTTCAAATCCCTCCAGGGATGGGGACTCCACCACTGCCTTGGGCAGCCTGTTCTGACATGAGAACCCTTTCCATGAAGAATTTTTCCCGAATATCCAATTTCAACTTACCCTGGAGCACCCTGTGGCTGTTTCCCCTTGTCCTGTCCCTGTTCCCTGGAGCAGAGCCCCATTCCTCTGGCTGTGCCCTCCTGGCAGGAGCTGTGCAGAGCCACAAGGGCCCCTGAGCCTCCTTTGCTCCAGGCTGAGCCCCTGCCCAGCTCCTCAGGGATTCTGCAGCCCCTGCCCAGCTCCTCAGGGATTCTGCAGCCCCTGCCCAGCTCCCTCAGGGATTCTGCAGCCCCTGCCCAGCTCCTCAGGGATTCTGCAGCCCCTGCCCAGCTCCTCAGGGATTCTGCAGCCCCTGCCCAGCTCCCTCAGGGATTCTGCAGCCCCTGCCCAGCTCCTCAGGGATTCTGCAGCCCCTTCCCAGCTCCCTCAGCTTCTCCTGGGGCTCCAGACCCTTCCCAGCTCTGTTTCCTTCTCTGCACACACTCCAATTCCTCATTATTTCTTGTCATGAGGAGCCCAGAGCTGACCCCAGGATCTGAGGTGTGGCCTCAGCAGTGGCAGCACAGGGGACACTCTCTGCCCTGTAGCCACAGGCTGGTACCAGCCAGGTGCCATTGGCCAGCTGGGCACTCTGGGGCTGAGGAAACAACACCCCCTGTGATGTTCCCAGCTCCTCCCTCACACTCCTGCCTGCAGGAGGTCCCATCAGCAGTCACAAGGAGGGATCTGCCATTCTAAAGCAGCTCCTCCTGCCTGGGAAGGGGGTGGCCAGTGAGGCCATGGGATGGGAATTCCCAAATCCATGAGCAGTGCCACAGTCCTTGCTCTTGGATACCAGAGTGGTTCAGGATTTTAACATCAACTCTCCTGGAAAGTCGTGGGGAAAGAGCTTTAGGATTTTAACATCAACTACCCTGGAAACCCTTGGCCGAGGTTTGATCTACCAGCCATGGAAAGGAGATAGAGGGTTCTTATCCTGTGAAATCCCACCCAACACAGCCACAAACAGCAAGGCCAGGAACACAACCAGCAGCTTTTGGAAAACAGATCTGACTGTCCATCCTGGACACAGCATCCTCATGCCATCCCAGAGCTGCTCTGGGAATCTGAGACACCAGGAGTGAGGCAAACAGTGCATGGCAGCAGCTCTCCATGGTGGGGGTGTCTCTGGATGTACCTGGTGGCTTTCAGCAGTGCTGCCTCAGTTGTCAGGACAAACTGGTGGATGGTCCCATAGACAAAAGCTGCCTCCATCACAGCCCTGTGCTCTGGAAAGGGAAAGGCAAGGTGAGCTCAGCTCTGCTTCCTCCACACCTCCTGTTTCATCCTTGCCAGGTGCAAAGATCAAATCCCAGGTGTAAATATCAAATCCCAGATGAAAATATCAATTCCCAGGTGCAAATATCAAACCCCAGTCTTTCAGAAACCCTTGGCACAATGTCACAGAGTCTGTCTGAAAACACACCGTGAAAGGAAGTGAGCAACTGGAGCTGGATCCCATTCCTGACCCTCAGCAAACAGGTGCTGTGTGAGAATCCATTCTGCAGAGCCAGGATTTATTATTTTTAAGACAGCAACCACTGGCTTGCTTTCCCTCTCCAAGTCCATCTCTCAAGGTTTATGCTCCCAGCAAAACTTTTCTGGTGCAAGTGATCCCTTTGGAAACAAAGCAAGACACATGGGAGTAGAGATTTTGTGGCTGGGAGGCCCTTTCAGGTTTTCACCTCCTGGATATTCTACCAAAAAAAGGCTGGGGAAGAGAGGAAAGATGGAAATGAGCAGCCATACCTGCTGTCCCAGTAGCTGGTACATAGGCAAAGACCATGTTGGACTTCCCCTTCAACACATTTTCAATGTTCTCAAGGTCTGCCAGTGTTTCAACATATTTAACTTCATTAAAGAGCAGGGCACTGAGGAAGCAGAAAAAACCTCATTAGCAACTGGTTGAAGAGTAAATTTGCAGCCACACAAGCATGATGGGGAAAACAGGGTAAAATCCCAGCTTCTTGCTGGCAGATTAAGGATTCACAGCCAACTGGAGGTGCCCAGGTGTGTGCTGGGGAGTTGTCTCAAGGGAGAAAGTTTAACAGGGTCAAACCATTATGAAGAGAGAAGCTTGACTGAGAGCAGCCTCTGGAATACCTTGATGCCTCAGGTTTAGCTTTTCTATTGTTCACATTCTGTGCTGCTTTAGTGTGTGGGTCTGACGGGATATTATGGGATGGTGAGCTCTGTGCACAGAGCAGGGAGACAAAACAATTCCTGCTCCAGCTGGGCACCAAGGACAAATGATCCAAATCTCAGTCCAGGAGCACAAACACCGTGGGCTGGAGAGAGAAAAACAAGCAGGGTGGGACTGCAGGGGCTAAAGCTGCAATGGGACAATGAACTGCAAGGTGCAAATGGAGCAGAACTGATCCCAGGGACAGACCCCGTGCCCGGCCGTGCATTTTGGGGCCATTTTGGTTCATCTTGGGTGCAGCCCTGGCTGGGCTCTGGTGCTGCCCAAGGTGGATCCATGGAGGAGATGCTTTGAATAAATCCCTGCTTTATTCTGGAGCTCCATCCAGCCTCTACTCTAGGACAGCCTGCACAAGGCATCAGTTTCTGGTGACCCAGATGGGACACAAGGCATCAACCTGGGGTTGGAATTTAGTGTGAATAGAAAGGAAAAGGATTTCAGAGAGTGGGATGTGGTCTGGGCATGTGGGGATGGACTTCCAGGGATGTGGTCTGGACTTACAACAGAACGTTGGCGACGATGGAGTTGACGTCGAACAGGGCGTCGGTGGGGAACTCTCGGATCAGCCGGTTCCCTCTGCAGAGAGGACAGAGAACCACCAAGGGAACTGAGAGAGATTCACTGCGTGGATCCACGGGAAAAGGGAGCCAAGGCAGGCACAGAAGGACAGGGAGGATGATGGAGAAATGGCAGAACACACTTGAGATGTCTTTGATCTGAGCTGGGAATTGTTCAAGCCTGGTTGAGCAGGTTCCTGCTCCACTTGGGGACATGGTGGCCTTGGCAGCGCTGGGGAAAGGTTGGACTCAATGATCTTAAAGGTCTTTGGAATGGTTGGACTGGATGATGTTAAAGGTCTTTGGAATGGCTGGACTCAACAATCTTAAAGGTCTTTGGAATGGTTGGACTTGATGATCTTAAAGATCTTTGGAATGGTTGGAGTGGATGACCATAAAGGTCTTTGGAATGGTTGCACTTGATGATCTTCAAGGTCTTTGGAATGGCTGGACTCAATGCTCTTAAAGGTCTTTGGAATGGCTGGACTCAATGATCTTCAAGGTCTTTGGAATGGTTGGACTTGATGATGCTAAAGGTCCTTGGAATGGTTGGAGTGGATGACCATAAAGGTCTTTGGAATGGTTGCACTTGATGATGTTAAAAGTCTTTGGAATGGTTGGACTTGATGACCTTAAAGGTCTTTTCCAACCTTAATTATTCCATGATTGTCAGTACAACAGTCAATGAGAACTGAGCTGATTCATGGAAAAGCTTCCATGTGACAGCCCTCGGAGAGACCAGGAGCTGAACCTTCCCACCCAGGGCAGAAGAGTTAACCCCACCAACAAGGAGAGCACCAAAAAGTGTTTCTTTCTTGGACTAGACCCAAAATCTTGTGGCCTGAGTATAGGTCTGGGGGAGGGAGGCCAGAGGAACAGCAGAACACTTATGGAGGGTTTCTCCTGTGGTTTCATTCCACAGCTCATCCCTCTGCTGCTCCAAGGAACTTGGGGCAGGATGGGACAATTCACACTGAGGACAAAGCATCTCCAGTGCCTGGGCTGGAATTTTGGGGGCACCTGTGGCTGAACTGTGCAGGTCACTGCTGTCCTCGTGGCTCCTCTCATTCCTCCACTGACATCTCTGACTGCTGACAGTGTTTCCTCAAACATTTCCTTCAAACTGGGAAGAAATCCCAGTGCAGAGCCCAGAAATGCCCCTCACCTGAACAGGAAGGCTTTCCTTAATGCATTTTCTTTTCCACAATATCTTGAGACATCCTCCTTGGGACAATTCACCTAGACAGCAAATACATGTAATTACAGATGCAGCCCCACAATGACCACACACACCCACTACAGCTCTCTTCCATTCAAGAGTGCAAATCCAGCCTCTCCAAACCTCCTGGGAGGGAAAATCCACCAAAATGGAGACAGAGATGGAGAGTGGAGTTTGTACTTCAGTTTTCCAGCTCAGCCTGCTGATCTGGGTCAGATGGGATCAAAGCACCCCATGATCTGCTCAGCATATTCAAAGTGACAGATCAGTGCTTCCTTACTGACCCTGGTCAGTAAATAAACCCAAATATAAATATATAAGCACTTCTTGGAGTCTAATTACACTTGTCTGAATTTGTAATTCCCTCACGTCAATCTGCATAAAATTTCAGCTAAAAACTCCTTTGTTTGAAATATTTATTGCACTGAGCTGAAAAGAAGTTAACCAACCTCATCCATCATGGAACATGGACACTGGAACAGGCTGCCCAGAGAAATTGGGGATTTTCCATCCCTGGAAATGTTCCAGGCCAGGCTGGACAGGGATACCCAGGATGGTGGAAGGTGTCCCTGTCCATGGAAGGTGAGGTGGAGAGAGATGAGCTTTAAGGTCCCTGAAAGCCAAAGCTGTTCTGTGAGTCCATCTTTCCTTGCTCATCTTCTACTCATCCATCCCACCCAGCAGCTTCCCTGAGCCCCACTTACCTTCACCACAGAGACACCATAGTCCTGGAGGGCCTCAGCTGAGCTCTCAATGTGCTCCAGGAAGGGCTGGGCACCAGGAGAAACTGAAAAACACACAACAAAAATCCTCTGCCAAGTCCTCAGGGTGAAGAGCATCCTCCTGCCACACACTGAGGTGTGGGAGATGTTCCTCAGCCCATGCCAATGCCTTTGGGAAATCACACCATGGGGATCAGGAAGAACAAAAGGAAGGTCAGGGATGTTCTCCTAATCCATGACAGCCTTGAGTTCTCCTTCATGAAAGGGATTCCTGCTTTTTCTAGCAGGTGTTATGGAAGAGGGGAAAATTCCTTAGGAAATTTGCTTTCTCCTCCAGAGTGCCTCCAGAAAATAATCCAGAAAACGAATGAAGATGTTTGAGGGACTGTGCCTGAGGACACAGCCAGGAAAGAACCCATCCCAAGGGGTCAGGAGCACTTGGAACTGTGCAAACACAGCACCTGACCAGTTCTTCAAAACCTCTTTGGGTTTAAAAACCTCAGGAACTGCCCCCTCACCGGGGAGGGCCACAAGTTGATCAGAGGGATGGAGGAGTTCTGCCAGAGGAAAGGCTGAGAAAATAGAAAAGGCTCTGGGGTGAATTAACTGCAGCCCTCCGGTGCCTGAAGGAGCCAACAAGGAAGATGAAGAGAGACTCTTTAAAAGGAATGGAGGGACAGGACCCAGGGAATGGCTTCCACTGCCAGAGGGCAGATTGGGAAGGAATTCCTGGCTGAGATAGAATTCCCAGAGCAGCTGTGGCTGCCCTGGATCCCTGGCAGTGTCCCAGGCCAGGCTGGACAGGGCTTGGAGCAGCCTGGGACAGTGGAAGGTGTCCCTGCCATGGCAGGGGTGGCACTGGATGGGCTTTAAGATCCTTCCAGCCCCAAGCATTCCATAATTCAGTGATTGTTCCACTCTCACCAAGCCTTGCTGAACCCTCAGGCTGATGGAAACTCACATTAAACACGTACCACTGGGGCTGAAAAAAGCCAAGGATGCTTTTCCAGCTTCCAAGCCACTGAAATAGTGCTGGGGGCTTGGCTCCTGCTGCAGGCTGGCACTTGCACATTGTGGGATGGAGAAGAGAAGGAAAACCAAGGAAGAAACCCATCTGTCCTTTTGGGCTGGCATGGCTGTTCCCAGCTACAGGCACAGGAGAGTCACAGCTGGGAGAAAAAACAATAATAAAAAATAAAATACATAAACACACACAAACACATATATGAGTGTCTCTCTGTTTCAGTCTCTGTTACATGACTGTAATTTCCAACAGTGGAAATTATTATTAATATGACACAAACATCTTGAGGATATTATGAATTAGTCACTCAATCCACAGGTGACTCAGACAACTGCAAAGAGGACAGCAGAGGCCACTCCATTCCCTATGAGTGTCCCTTCAAGTGCACAGACCCTCAGTGCTTTCAGCTCTAGGGCTGCTTTTCCTCCCTCTTTTTTATTTCTTTTGAGTCAAACAAAAATTCCATGCACAGGCATCAAAGCAGTGACAGCAGCATCCACAAACCCCCGCCCAAACTGTCTCAATTCCTGCTACAAAGCTTCCAGGGTGCCAGCAGAATTTCTGTGGCCCTGAAAGGTGTTTGCAAAGGGATGGGACTTGTTGTGGTTGCCAAAAAACTCAATGGCCATTTGAGGTTCAAATAGCAGAGCTCCTGTTTCAGAGCAAAATAGAAATGTGCATCTTCTGGCACTGGTTTCTGGTCAGAGTGAGGAAGATTTTGCAGGTATATTTATAAAGATTTGCTAGCTGAAGTCCTTAGCATGAGGATGTTCTGCTGGTGCTTCAGGAACACATGTTCCAAATTATTTTTTTTATAGAATAACTGATTTCTCTTTTATATTTATAAGGATTTATGTAACTTAAATGGATGCTATTTTTGTATATACTGCTGGGTTTCTTCTTTACTCTGTGATCAGACGTTCTATACAATTTAACCTTTAAAGCATTAATTAAAAAATCAGATTGCCCTTGACCTAAAATATGTGTAGCAATAAGTCAGAGAAGAATTCTGTAAAATCTTTTCTGCTTCTGGCTGCTGATTTTGCCACTTCTCAGCAGCCACCTTGACTTCCTCAGAGAATTAAGTGGGAATTTTCCTGAGCAGATTGATTTTGGTGGGAAGTGTCCCTGCCCCTGGGATGGAACAAGATGATCTTTAGGATGTCGCAGACATTTTTTCACAGAAATCCTTTCTTTCAGATTTCTGTGTCTTCTGGAAGGCAGAGGCCTCAGAAGAGAAGGTAAACAATTATTATCAGATGCTGTGAAATGTAACAGGGGCACCTTGATTGGCTCATGTTCCCATGTTCATAATTGGAGGCCAATCACGGGTGCAAGTCAGGGACTGAGTCCTTGGACACAACTTTGTTATAGATTTCCTTCTTTCTATTCTTAGGTTAGCTAGCAGGCTCTGCACCTTCTCTCTTTATTCTTATTAGTATAGTTATAATGTATTATATATCATATATCAATAAATCCAGCCTTCTGATCAAGAAACAAGATTCACCGTCTTTCTCTCACCAGCAGCGACCCACTCAGGACGCTGTAATATTAGGATGATCAAGATGATCCCTTATAAATAAACTCTGGGATTTTGGGATTTTGCTCACTCCAGGCCATGGCAGATGATGTGAGGAGGTTAAAGGATGAGGAGCCACCTTCTTCCCACTGCATTCCTGCCCAGCCTGCTCCTCAGGGATTGCTCTGTGCTGCCGGAGCGTGGCTGCTCCCTGCTCAACAAAGGGACAAAGCTGGGACTGAATCCATGCAGAATTGACATCATGAGCTGCAGCTGCTTCCCTCAACAAGCAGCCCTGTGTCCGTGGGCTGTCACTGCTCCAAGCCCCTGGCAGAGGCTGGCAGCTCAGCACGGCTGCCCTGGGATCAGCCCAGGCTCCAACACTCCAAAAACAAGCAGGGAAAGATCCTGTGCCATGCTCCAGGAGTGAGGGCAGGCACACTCAGCCCTCACAGGCTCCTTCTCCAGGAGCTCAGGGCTTTGGATCAGGCCTGAAGGCACAACAGAGATGGAAATACGTTAATTTTTTTTTTCTTTTCATCTCAAAATCTTCAGTTGTCTCCTTTCCAGCTTTGGGCAGTGTCAGGCATTTCTGGTGCTGTGCCCTCCCATCTGTTCCCCTGGCTGACAGAGGGGACAGGGATCAGGCTGGGGGGGTGATGTTTATTAAATGACAAACTTGGCTACTGCAGGATGGAAAAATAAACACAATCCTGGCACGTGGGAACCAGCCAGCTCAAATGGGAGAGCTCACTGTCAAGGGAGGAAGAGGAGCAGCCTCCAAGGACTCAAAGATGTCACAGGATTGTATCTTGAGGAGAGGGTCAGCAGTTTAAAACATAACTCCAGCCCCCAGGGAGAGCTCAGAGCCCCTGGCAGGGCCTGAAGGGGCTCCAGGAGAGCTGGAGAGGGACTGGGGACAAGGGATGGAGGGACAGGACACAGGGAATGGCTCCCAGTGCCAGAGGGCAGGGAGAGATGGGATTTGGGAAGGAATTCCTGGCTGTGAGGGTGGTTATGCCCTGGCACAGGGTGCCCAGAGAAGCTGTGGCTGCCCCTGGATCCCTGGCAGCGCCCAGGCTGGACAGGGCTTGGAGCACCCTGGGACAGTGGAAAGTGTCCCTGCCATGGTAGAGGTTGGAATGAGATGGGATTTGAGGTCCCTTCCAACCCAAACCATTCTGGGCTCCAGTGAAAAACGTGTGCTCACCCCTTCCCTGCTCCAATCCTCTCACCTCCTCACCCCTCCCTCCTGCCCAGCAGATTCCCTCTGCCCCCCATCAACCCAGACATGAATATTCAGCTTTTAGGCCATTTGCTCTGTCACCTCTTTCCCACCCATGGAAAATGAACCCCTAGGACTGGAAACAGGCAGAGCCTTGCACCACTGACACCTGCAGGATTGCCAGGGATGTGTGAAATACCAGGGATGTGTGAAGCAGCTCTGTGCCACTGCTGGGAAACCTTAAGCCATGGCCAGGGGACAGCCTGGCACAGCACTGAGGGAATGCCAGGCCTGGCTCATGTCCCACTGCCATCATGCCAAGGCAGAGCCAGGCAAGGTGCCTGAGGTCACTGCAGTGACCTGAAGTCAAACCAAATCCACCAGAAATATCCAGCCCAAACTCCTGTGGGGGCAGAAACTGCTTGTGCCACTTCAGCTTTGTTTGGGAACCCTGCAGGGGAATCCATGGGCTGGGATCACCTCTGGTCCCAGCTGCTTTCCAGGACACTTCTCCTCCTCAGCTGCCAAGATTTATCACTGAGGATATTTATCCTCAGGGGAGAGTATAAGAAATAAATTTATAAAAATTTTCAAAGTTTGATAGAATAGAATATATATAATATATAATATATAATATATTATATATTATATATATTCTATTCTATCAAACTTTGAAAATTTATATATGCATATATATAAATATATATAATTTATATATATTTATAAATATACAATATGTAATATATAATATATTATATATTATATATTATATGTTATATGTTATACGTTATATATTATATGTTATCTATTATACGTTATATATTATATATTATCTATTATATATTATACATTATATGTTGTATATTATATATTATATATTATATATTATATATTATATATTATATATTATATATTATATTATATATAATATATTATATATTATATATTATATATTTTCATATACAAACCTTAAAATAAGAAATACTAACTTAAAAACACCATAAGATAAAACAAACATTATTAAAAAATACTATAAAATAAAGCAAATATTATTAAAAAAGAAATCCCATAAAATAAACATTATTAAAAAAGAAAAAAGTTCCAAAAGATAACCTTATAAATAAGACTAAATACTTTAGAAAAATAAAACTATAAAAAATGCATTGTAGAAAGACCCACGAGGGGTAATTTTAAATAATTAACTTTAAAACATTTAAAACATAATGTAACAAAAACTAATAAGCTAAAAAACACTTATAATTAAGAAATAGTTCACTTCTAATTATAATAATGGAAATGATAACATCTGTTATAAATAATGAATAGTTCACTTCTAATAAGGGAAATTATAGCATCTGTATTATCTCACCCTTCACATATAACTAAAAATAAAATGAAAGTTTTTAAAGCACCTCTCAATCACCACATCTCTAAGTCAGAAAAAGCCATAATCCCACAGGAGGGTGTTGTGGGGTGGGATTTAAGAGTCACAGGACAAGGAAGAGCTGCTGTCCTGCTGGAATTCTGGCCTGCACAGCCAGCTGGAACCACCCCACCATCCATGGCCTCCCCTGGACTCAGCAGAAACTCCACCAGCCTGGGCTGTAATGCCAGTGATGGAAAACCCACACTTTGTCTTGTCCAAATATCACCACAGAACCCAGAATGGTTTGGGTGAGAGGGACCTTAAAAACCAAAGCTCCACCCTTGCCATGGGCAGGGACACCTTCCACCATCCCAGGGTGCTCCAAGCTCCATCCCTTGGCACTGCCAGGGATCCAGGGGCAGCCTCAGCTGCTCTGGGAATCCTGTGCCAGTGTCTCCCCAGAAATCCACCACCCCTGTTAGTTTAATCCCTTCCATCCTCAGAGGCCTCAGCTGGTGAGTTTTAACTCCCCAGGTAGATGTTCCTACACCAGGAGAATTTAGGATGCTCCCAAATGGAGTCACCTCAAGCTCTCCTGTGCTGATTGACCCCAGTCAGGGCTCTCTGTGCAGCAGGACATTCCCCCCACACCCTGCTGGCACAGATTCTTGGCAGCATTCTCACCTGCCTTCCATGCCCAGGGAGCTGCTCTCCCAGATTTCCTGGCAGGGGAGGCTCAAACCAGACCCCAAACCCACGTGGGGCTGACTCAGTCCCTTAGCTCCAGCAGGATGGACAGGCTGAAGTTCCCTCTCCAGCTCACCTGGATGTCCCAGCACAAAGATCCCTCCTGCTGCTGCTCCAAGATGCAAGGAGAGAGGAACCCTGACAGCTCCTCCTGCATTTCTGTCCATGCAAACAGGTTTCCTTTGGGTGATCCAGAAAAATGACAGAATCCTTAAGGTGGGAAAAGCCCTCTAAGATCATTGAGTCCAATCATTCCCCAAGGGGGATGGCTCCCACGGAAGGGTGGGATGGGATATTGGGAACTGGGAATTCTTGGCTGTGAGGGTGGGCAGGCCCTGGCACAGGGTGCCCAGAGCAGCTGTGGCTGCCCCTGGATCCCTGGCAGTGCCCAAGGCCAGGCTGGACAGGGCTTGGAGCAGCCTGGGATAGTGGAAGGTGACCCCAGGAGTGGCACTGGATGAGTTTTAAGGTCCCTTCCAACCCAACCCATGATTCCTTGCCTGGAATTATATTAACTTTCCATATTTTTCACTACACATGTCCCTTCCTTGCTCCAGACTTTTCCTACATAGCCAACAAGTTCATCATCACAACTCCATGATAATTATCACAGGTTCATTATCACCACCCAGTCAGCTGGCACAGAGCTCAACCCAAATCCTTTCACATTTTCCAAAAGCAAGTTCTTGGACACAACTGATTGGAGTACAGTGGTAGAGCTGCAATTCCCCAGCATCTGGAGCTGGAATAACAGTGAGATGCTTCTCCACAGCTTTGGGATGAGCCTGCAATTATGGGACTGAAATAACCACTGGCCCTTTGCACTCACTGCATCTCCCTATCTCCTACAGGGGCAGCTGTGGGAGCATCCTGAAGCACAGGGATCCTTTCCTGGGAACATCCAAGTGCATCCCAGTGTGCTTTGCCTGGATTTTTGCTGGATTTTTTTGCCTGGATTTTTGATGGTCCCATGCTGCCCTTTATCTTGCCATTTCGAGATGAGTTTCACTTTCATTTTCATTTCCAGGTCCAAGTTCCCAGCAGCCAGGTCTCACTTGCTATCCAAGGCTGCAGGGGGGACAGAGTGCAGCCTTTGTCTCTGCCCACACCAGGAGAGGAGGGCTTTGATTCCTGTGCAAAGCAGACAGCCTGCAGCATGGAATGGAGACAACCTGTAAGGGTCCAATCATTCCCCCAGCACTGCCAAACCCACCACTAACCCATGTCCCCAAGTGGTTTGTGAACATTTCCAAGGACAACGAATCCACCGCTTCCCTGACAGCATCGCCACATGCTGGAATCACCATCTGCTGGGATTTCCACCTGCTGAATTCCATCACTTCCCTGCTGGAACCAGCATCACCCACTGCTGCTGCTGCTGCTCCGTTCAGTCTCCTTGGGAACCAGCCCCCCGAAATCCCCGGAAAGCAGCCGGCACTGGGTGCACATCACCGAGCAAGCTGCGGGCGGCTCAGGGCTGTCACCTACCTGGTGTCCCGAGGCTTCAGGCCGATGTCCTCATCCCTGCTCCGCGGTACTGGGACAGCACCGAGGCGTCCCTCGGCCCTGGCGGTCCCTCGGACCCGGCTGCAGGGCTGGAAAAGCCGGGATGGGCTCCAACCAGCGCGGGTGGGTCTGTGCCAGCCGGGGAAGCGATCCCTGAGCCGGGCGAGGCCTCTCGGTATCCACCGGAGCCGGGAGCTGTTCGCAGCTGAGCTGTGCCTGCATCCACAGGGATGGCCGCCTGCACGGAAGGAACCGACGGTCCGTGAGGGACACCCGGACAGCCCCAGGGACGTTCCCTGTCCGTGAGGGACACCCGGACATCCTCAGCCTGTAACGGGGATGTTCCCAGTCCCGTAAGGGACACCCGGACATCCTCAGCCTGTAATGGGGATATGCCCAGTCCGTGAGGGACACTCGGACAGCCCCAGCCTGTAACGGGGATGTTCCCAGTCCTGTAAGCGACACCCGGACATCCTCAGCCTGGAACGGGGATGTTCCCGGTCCGTGAGGGACACCCGGACATCCTCAGCCTGGAACGGGGATGTTCCCGGTCCGTGAGGGACACCCGGACAGCCCCAGAGACGTTCCCGGTCCGTGAGGGACACCCGGATATCCTCAGCCTGTAACGGGGATGTTCCCGGTCCTGTAAGCGACACCCGGACATCCCCACAGAGCCTGAAGCGGGGATGGTCGCGCACCCCGACTCTGCCTGCGGAGGTGCCCAGATCCTCCCGGTTCCTCCATGAGACCTCTCAGCGCTCCCCTCACGGCCCCTCTCAAGCCTTCGCTTCCCTCTCTCATCCTTCTCATCCCTTTCTCCCCTCTCCCCGTCCGTCTCTCATCCCTTACCGGCTCTCAGGGAAGGAGGGAAAGAAGGAAGGATGGCGAGCAGGCGGGCGGCGCCGCCAACCCAACAAGCAAAGCGGCGGCGCGGCGGGGGCGTCGCGCGGGTGATTGACAGGCGGCGCCGGCCAGTGGGAGCGGCGTGTGGGCGCGGCGAGGGGCGTGGCCGACGGGCGGCCAATGGGGAGCGCGCGCCGCCGCCCCTCAAATCAGCGGGCTCAGCCGGCTGTCCCCGGCACGGAGTTGTTTGGCGGCGGGCGGTGCAGCCGGGCGGGCGGGAGGAGGAGGAGGAGGAGGAGAAGAAGGAGAAGGAGAAGGAGGAAAGGGGGGGTTCTCCCCTTTGTTGCATGGGGGTGTCCAGCCGGGGCTGAGGGAAGGCAGGGAGGGGGTCGGTGCCTCCCGCTGCCCCATGGCCCTCGCTGAGGGGGCGGCCGTGCCCTACGCCGTGGAGCTGGGGCTCACCGTGCTCCACACAGCGCTCTACGCCGCGCTCTTCCTCTTCGCCTACCTGCAGCTCTGGCTGCTGCTCTACTACCGCGAGCGGCGGCTGAGTTACCACACGCTCTGCCTCTTCCTCTGCCTGCTCTGGGCAGCCCTCAGGACCACCCTGTTCTCCTTCTACCTGCAGAATTCCCTGCAGGCCCTCCGCCTCCAGCAACCCTTCGCCCACTGGCTCCTGTACTGCCTGCCCGGCTGCCTCCTCTTCTCCAGCCTCTGCCTCCTCAACCTCTATTTCGCCGAGGTAAGTTTTGCCTTTTGGGCAAAACCCCTCCAAAATTCTCTTTCCCAAACCTCCACCCTGCGGGACAGCGGGGTTGGAAGCGCCTCTCCAAAGTTGGAGCGCCCTGGAGCCGAGGCTGTGGGGTGGGATGGGGATGTGAGCGCCCAGGTGAGGTCGGGGGGCGATCCTGAGGGGCCGATCCTTGGGGACAGCCTGAGGGGGTGCGGGGCTGTGCCCGGAATCCCGCCTGGGAGGGGGGCACAGGGGTTGTGCCCTGAATCCAGACTTTGGGACAGCCTGGGGGGATGCAGGGGTTGTGCCCTGCATCCAGGCTGGGGGGATGAAGCACAAGGATTGTGCCCTGAATGCAGGCTTGGGGAGAAGCACAGGGATTGTGCCCTGGATCCAGGCTGGGGGGGCGGGGTGGGATTTGGGGGGGATGGTGCGAGCTAAAAGTGTGCCCAGAATCCCAGCATCAATGCTTTGGGGTGCAGGGCTGTACCCTGCCTGCACACCCCGCCTGGGGGGAACAGCACATACCCTGAATTTGGGATTTGGGGGTGCGGGGACATGCCCTGCTCCCAGGTGGGCTTCTCCTCTTTGCCCCCCAGACCCACCGCGGGGTGTTTGTGCGTGTGTGTATGCGGGGGGGCATCACTTGAGGGACTGTTTTGCATCTTTTTGGTTATTTTTTAATTGATTCCCGTTCTGCAAAGGGGACCAGAAAGTGGCAGCAGCAGGGGCTGCTCTGGCCTGGAGTGATGCCAACCATTACGTCACCAGCTAGAGCCTCTTCTGCTATTGTTGCTGCGCTCCCTCCTTCCCTCCATCGCTCCGCTGCGAGCCCGGCTTGTTGTTCCGCAGCTTGTCAGACAAAAAAACCCCGAGATCCCTCACACAACAGCCCGGGGCAGCCCAGGGGGGCCCCTTCCCAGCGCCGGCATCGCTGCTGGGACAGCGCGGAGCCGCTTGTTATTGTCACCGAGCCGTGTCCCTGCTTTTCTGGGCTTCCCATCACTCGTGTGGTGATTTTTAGCCTCCTTTCCCTAGTCCTTCCACTTGCCTTTATCTCCTAAAGCCCTGGCTCTCCCCTCCCCATCCTCCTCCTGAATATTTTGTTTCTGCTCCAGTTTCTCTTGAGCAGCCCTTTGCTTCGCCTGCCTCCCGGTTCGCTGCCTATTTATGAAACAAGTCACCACTTTTTCCTTCCAGCTTTGTTGTTGTTGTTGGGATTCTTTGCTCTGCAGCTCTCAGCTGTTCTCCAGCCTCACAAAGGAATGGCTAGCACACAGAAATCTCTCCAGCGTGTCACCCACGGGAGTTATGATTTCATTTTCCCCAGGACACCAACATTCACATGACACTTGGAGCTCTGGGGTTGTTCTGCTGTTCTGGTTCTTTTGCCCCCTCAATAAACACCTGGAGGCTTTGGGGGCGAGCTGCCTGTTGCAAAAGGTGTTGCTGATGGAGTGGCAGTGGAATAACAAATGGTGCATGGAGTGCACAAATCCATCTTGTCTGCCTAAGGGAGCCTGACCTCCCAGTTGCCCCAGCCAGGAGGGGTTGGTGTCCCTTGAAAGGCAGGGATTGTGTGCTCTGCTCCACAGAGTGGCTGGATTTCTGGTTTTCTCTAGGTCACTGGATTTGACAGCAGATTTGCCTCTCTACAGGCTTGTTTAAAGGTCCTCTTCAAGTAAATCCAAATAGATTGCCAGGCTTCTCCTCCTCCCACGATATCTGTTTTGCACTGAACTCTGCATGTATCCCACTTCTTTCTCCTTGAAGACCTGGAGCCAAGGGAAATCCTGTCGGAGGAAATAAGAGCTCTGAATCTGGAGTGGGGAAGGATAAAGTGACTTACAAAAATGGGTCTGCTTGCTCAGCTCCAGGGAGGGCCTGACACCTCCCTGGAACAACCAGGAGGGGTGTCCATCACTCCGTGGGGTTTTTGGGAGATCTCAGTGGTGAAGCTCCAGAGATTTGGAGGAAAAAGATGGAAATCCTGGAGCTTTTGTGGCTCCCATGACCTGGAGGTGACTGGTGTGTTTACTGGGTGACTCCAGCAGGATGTGCCCATCCTTTCCCAGTTTTTAAGGCTCACTTGGCAGCAGCCTGGGGAAGGACACTGAGCTTCTGCTGCCCTGGGGGTGGCACCCTGAGCTGAGATGCCCTCACATAAAAGCAGGGGCTGCTGCTGTGCTGAGGGCCTGGCTCATTGTCCCTGTGCACAGAGCCTCCTTTGTGGAGAGGATGGAGAAATGGCATCTGGGCAAGAAAATGGCCTGTGCTGATATTTGAGCTGTTCTTGCTTGATTTGCAGAGCCCCTCAGGCAGCACAGAGGCTGAGGATGGAAAGGTGCTGGGGAAGGAGCTGCAGGAAACAGATACCTGTGGGGAACTGGCATTACTTAACACTCCAGGCTGTTCCAGGGCTGAAATTCAAATTTGCTGAACTGCCTGGTGTTCCTCCTTTCTGTGGGGACAGCTTGTCCTCTTCCTATGCCATGAGATTCCTGAGGGGATGCAGAGACCTGACAGAATCGCTGTGGGATGTGTATTTATTTTTCATAGAGTCCCAGAATGGTTTGGGTTGAAGGGACCTTAAAGCCCATCCAGGGACACCTTCCACCATCCCAGGGTGCTCCAAGCCCTGTTCAGCCTGGCCTTGGGTACCAGGGATCCAGGGGCAGTCACAGCCTCTCTGGGCACCCTGTGCCAGCCTCTCCTCACTTTCCCAGCCAGGAATTCCTTCCCAATCTCCCATCCATCCCTGCCCTCTGGCACTGGGAGCCATTCCCTGTGTCCTTTCATTCCATGCTCTTGTCCTCCCCAGCTCTCTTGGGATGCTTTTTCCACCTGGAACATCCCTTTAGCTTGGGAGCATCTCTTCCTTTCTACTTCAGCTTGTACCAGAAGGAATCCTTTCCTGGCAACCTGGAGTTCAGAGTCCATCAGGTCAGAATTGCTCAGATCCACTCCCAATCTTGCCTCAAGAGCTCCAATGTCCAACCTAGGATGCTCCTTTGCCTTTGGAGTAGCTCCTGTCCTGCAATGCCACCTTTCCCAAGTGGCTGCAACTTCTGCTTTTCCCCAGCTCTTTGTCAGGACCATGGAAATGGAAATACATGGAAGGAGCTCAGGGTGCTTAGCCTGGAGAAAAGGAGGCTCAGGAGGGACCTTGTGGCTCTGCAGAGCTCCCTGACAGGAGGGGACAGCCAGGGAGGCTTGAGCTCTTCCCAAGGGACACGAGGAAATGGCCTCAAGCTGTGCCAGGGGAGGCTGAAATGGGATATTTGGGAAAATTCCTCCCTGGAAAGGAGCTGCCAGGGAGGTTTGCAGTCCCCATCCCTGAAGGTGTCCAAGGAACCCCTGGGGGTGGCACTCAGTGCTCTGGGCTTGTGACAAGGTGGGAATCAGGCACAGCTTGGACCTGATGGCCTTGGAGGTCTTCTGTGAAATGCATCCACAACAACCTTGATCTTAAAGACCTTCTTGAGCCCTTGGCAGCCTGGCTGTCCTGGGAAGCAGCAGGGATGGCTAAGGAGTGCTGGCCTGGTGGGGCTGGTGGTGTGGGTGGGTTTCTCCAAGTGCTCCATGTGAGGAGATGCCATCAGCCCCTTTCATCCCTTCCTGCTCTAATTGCAGTGCAGAGAGCATCCAGCCTGGGAGGTGTTTGTCTGTGCTCTCCTGGATCTTCTCAGATGGAAAACTGGGAAAATGTCATCCTTTATTTCCCTCTTTCACCTTCCCTGTGCTCAGAGGGACAGCTGGGCAGGGATCTCTGAAACTCCAAACTGCTCCATCCCATGGCTGGTGCTTCCCATGTTTCCCAGAGGAACAGGTGGCCCTGCTGGGCACCAGCTATTCTGGGAAAGGAGGGAACATGCAGAGTCCAGCCTGTGTTCAGGATGGCCTGGAATCATCTAGATATTAATGTGAGGATGGTGAGAGATCCTCGTGGACACTTCCAGCTTTTCCTCTGTGGGCTGAAGCTGGGCTTTGCACACTTGGTACAAGGTGTGATCCCAAAACAGTCTGTGCTGTGCTCCCATCATTGTGTGGTGAGCAGAGGGATCTGTCTGAGATGCTCCTGCAGCTGAGCTGTGTTGGGGCAGGACATGTTTGCAGAGCCCAAATTTGTGTTAATGAAGCAAAAAAAAAGGATTTGATTCCTGTGGACAACAACAAGTTCCTGGATCTTTCAGATCTGCTGGAAAGTAGCTTGGTTTTGGTCCAGCCTGAGTGCCTCACTGTGAGGTTTAAGATCCTGGCCCTGGGAGTGGTGCTTGGATTCATCTGTGGCATCTGGGATGTGTCACTTTTCTTCCCTTAGCAGCTGTGACACCTCCAGTGCACCTTCTGAGGGTGAGTGTGTCTCTGAACACACCCTGGGGGCTCTCTGGGCTGTGATGTGAGCAAGGAAATCGCTTTTATGGGATAAAGCCACCCAAAAGCCTCCAGCATCCCAGAGGGCTTTGGGGTCTGTAGCTCATTGCAGCCTCACCCTCTGGCTGATGTGGAGTGCTCAAGGGACCCATGGCTCTGGAAAGGCACCTGAGTGTTCCAAATTGCTGTGAAGGATTTGTTCAGAGTAAATCTTCCCAGTCCTGCTGCTCTGTGCTGCTGAGACCTCTGTTCCCTCTTTTCATGCTGGATTTCTGGAGCTGGGCTCAGCTCAGATTTGAGGGACCCATTCAGTTTGCAGGGGTTGCTGCTCACAGCTTGGCCTAATGCACCTGCTGAAGCACAGGGGTCTATTTTTCCTATATTTCTGAAGGAGCTCATTGCTCCTGAGCTCTCTGTGCTGGGTTTTTCACAGCAGAACCTCTGCCTGAGCTGTCCTTGGGCTCTGGGAGCAGCAGAGCCCCGTGCAGGAGGCTCAGAGCTCATCTCAAGGGTAAGAACCCAGAGTCACCCTGAGCACTCTGCTGGTGGCACCTCCTGACCCACTCCCTGGGAAGGAAAAGCAACCTTCAGGTAACTTATCAGCCTGAATAACCAAAACCAGCAGAGCAGAGGTGGCTGTTCCCTTCCTGAAGTTATTCCTACAACTATCCAGGGGCTAATAAAAGTGTGAGGCTGGAGCTGTGGTCTCCCTCTGCTTTCCATGGCAGCAAGCCAAGCATGAGGCTCAAATTGCTGTTGCACTCTTAACCCTGACTCAGCTTTGTGTGTCTTCATCCCTGGGGCTGCAGGGGAAGGTTTGGCAAGAGTGTCCTGCCCAAAACAGCATCTTCTGTGAGCCAGGGGCACTTCCCTGCTCAGCTGAGGGGCTGGCAACACGACATTCCCAGCTGGGACACAAACCAGGGGCTCTGCAGGGCTGTTCAGAGGTTACAGCAGGAGTGCAGATTGCTCAGTGATTTCCATGCTGCTGGGATGGATGCTCAACCAGCAGGAGTGCAGATTGCTCAGTGATTTCCATGCTCTGCAATGGGTGCAGAACCAGGAGTGCAGATTGCTCAGTGATTTCCATGCTCTGCAATGGGTGCAGAACCAGGAGTGCAGATTGCTCAGTGATTTCCAGGCTGCTGGGATGGATGTTCAACCAGCAGGAGTGCAGATTGCTCAGTGATTTCCAGGCTGCTGGGATGGATGTTCAACCAGCAGGAGTGCAGATTGCTCAGAGGGTTTCCATACTCTGCAATGGGTGGAGAACCAGGAGTGCAGATTGCTCAGTGATTTCCATGCTGCTGCAATGAGTGTTCAACCAGGAGTTCCCCAGCTGGATGTCACCAATGTCTGTTTTGAAAGGACAAGAGGAAACAGCCTCAAGTTGTGCCAGGGGATATTTAGATCCTAACTGGATGTTAGGAAAAAATTCTTCACTGAAAGGGTGGTGAGGTGTTGGAACAGGCTGGTCAGGGCAGTGGTGGAGTCTCCAGCCCTGGAAGTCAAAAAACTCAAAGTGGATGTGGCACTTGAGGGCATGGTTTAGTGGTGAATGTGGTGCTGCTGGATTAATGGTTGGACTTGGTGGCCTTGGAGGGCTTTTCCAGCCTCAGTGATTCAGTGATTCCAAAGTGCCTGAATGTCACCCACAGCAAACAAGGGAGGATTCAGGGATATTTCTGGTTTTGAGTATCCATGTGGCCCAAATGATGAGTTTTAGGGCTTAGAGTGGATTGTGCCACACTCCTGCACCTCTGTGTGCCTGGACAAGGGGACAGAGAACATTCCTGGGGCTGGACACTTCCCTCTGCTGAAGAACCACATCTCATTCCTCACTCAGTTCAACTCATCCTCTCTCAGCCAGAGGAGCCAGGCACTGGAAATGACTCTTGGAAGGGAATCCCTGAAGCTGCCCAATGTCCTTTGAAATGCTTGGAAGCACTGCAGTGGCTCAGACAGCCCTCAGATCCTGGAATGGCTCTGGGAATCCCCTTGGCAGCAGCCTGATTCCTGAAGCTCATGTGCCATTTCTGCCTCAGTGCTGACTTGGAAGCAGGAGCCAAGGAATCCCACCAGGATAAAAGCTGCCTGAGGATGCCAGGGAGGAGATGGGTGATCCTTCACTGCTGACAGGGAAGGCTCCTTGTGGGAGAAGGGAAACTGAGCCTCCACAGCTGAGCAGTGATCCCACAAGTGCAGGTGGGATCGCTCTGGATGTGTCTGTGCCTCTTCCCAAGTTCCTTCAAAGTCTCCAGTCAGAGCTTTGCCTGTGGCTGAGCGTGACCCCAGCTCTGGGATCCTTCCTGCTGGGGTCTGGAGCTGGAGCTGGACACAACCCTAATCCAGTCCTGAGCAGTGTGAGCACAGGCTCCCTGTGCCTTTGCAGCAGGAATTCACATCTGAGCTGTGACTTGGGAGTATCTGCACCTTCCCAAACTGTCCCTGCTCCTCTCACATGGAAATCCAGCATGGCTGAGGTCCTAAAATAGCCCAAAACATTGGGAAAAGGAGGTGTGTTTTTGAAGGATGTTAAAGTGCTAAACTCCCTTCTTTTCTTGAAGCCTTCAAGGTGTGGTGTTAAAGTGCTTGTCACATATGGGGTGTTAAATATGTTTATGGTTTTGGGAACCTGTGTTTGGGCTGGGCTTCTACAAGGAGAAAGTGCCATTGTTTTGGGTCCAGAGCAGGAGTTGGTGCTGATAAATAATCCAGATTCCTTGGAGATGTCCAGCTGGGTTCTGATTTCCCTGTTTATCTCTTGACAAAGTTGAAAGGAAACCTAAATTAATCCTGTGCAAATCTTTCCTCCAGGTCATCTTCAAAGTGAAATGCGCAGCTGAATTCAACAAGTACAAGTAAGTGCTGCTGTCCTGACCTTGCCTGCAAAGCTGGTCCCAGGGGAACTGGCTGGGAATGGGAGGATCAGCCCCAAAAGATGAACAGAGCTCTAATTCCATACCTGTGCTCTGAGAAAGGAGCAGGACTGGGAGCTTCAGGGCTGCCAGAGGAGCTCAAGCATCCCAGCTCCCCTGGGTGGACTCTTAGGGTCACTCTGAGCTGTCCCAGCCCAGCAAAGATCAGCAGAACAAGGCTTGAGCAATGGGGGAGCCCCAGGTTTGTGCAGCCCAGGGAACCCCACGGTGGAAAATGCAAGCTCCAGGGGCTCTCAAGAAAGGAGTTGCAGTGGTGGTGATGACTCATGGCTTATTGACTGGAGTTAATGCAGAGCTGGAGCAACACTTCAAATCTGCAAGATAAGAACCTGACTGTCAGAAGATGAGTCTTGTAACTCATGACTGCTTACGCTGCTCATGTGTTCTGAGAGCAGCTCCAACAAATCCTCTGCAGCCTTGGGCTGCCAATACAACCCCTGAAATTTGCTGGAATGCCTGAGCTGCCCAGCAGGCTGAGCCCTGGGAGGCTCTGCTGACACAGGAGGGAGGTGCACAATGAACCTGGGCTTTCTCACTGACCATTTTTCCCCCTCACCATGTCTCCAGGGTCCTGCTGTACCTGGGCTCCATCCTCACCAGCCTCCTGTTCCTGGTTGTGAATTTAACCTGTGCAATGCTGATTCATGGAGAGGTCCCAGAGAAGCAGCTCAGGTGGACAGTCCTGGCCAGGGCTCTGGTCAATGACAGCCTCTTCATCCTCTGTGCCATCTCCCTGGCCTGCTGCATGTGCAAACTGGGAAAGATGTCTTCAGCCAATGTCTACCTCGAGTCCAAGGTGGGTGAATGCCTTGGGAATTCCCTCTGGGACTGCTCAGCTGGAGCTGGGTGTGCTCACTCAGGGCAGTGCTGGCCTGGTGGCACCTGAGCTGCTCTGGCTCAAATTCTCCTTCCAGCGTGGAGGTGGCAATTCCTGGATCCCTCCCTTTCACAAAGTGCATGCTCCTGCTGTGGGAGTGATGTTTCCTGCATGTTTTAGGGAAATACTTTGTCTGCAGCTTTATAACAGATTTATGAGCTGCTTCTGCTTTTCAGGCACAGAAAATCCCAGGTTTGCCTTGAAGAGAGGTTTTTCTCAGAGCAGCAGATGCAGTTTGTGCTGTAAATTTACCTGTAGCAGATGTGTCATGATTCCTGGAATGGGGATCCCCAGAAATCCAACTTTAGGTGGGCTCTCCTTGGGTAGGATGAGATGTCCAGGGTGAGATGAGCATTTTGGAATGGGAGGAGAAGTTGCTGTAGGTCCTGTCCCAAAGCAGGACAGTTGAGGGTCTGAACACACACAGCTCTTCTCCAGCAGCTAGGAAAGTGGAAAAGCCACCAGGAATGTGGCAGGAGGCTGCAGTCAGTGTCCACCTGAGTGCCTGGGAACATCCAGAGGAAAAAGCAGAGCACCTGAGCACAGCCAGCTGAAGCTGAGGCTTTCTCTAGGAGATGTGTGGCTCCTTAAGCAGCAGAGGGCATCGGTGGCCTCCGGGAATGCAGGGGGTGAGGGCTGGGTCTGGTGTCCTGCCTGGCTCTGTGACAGCTGTCCAGAGGCTGCAGGTGGCACCCAGCTCTGCAGTGAGGCAGGGACAGAGGAGCTGCTCACACCCCTGCTGGCCTGGGCCTGCTGTCCAGCTCTGCCTGGCTCTGACACTCATGAACTCACCCAGTTCCCCCAGTGCAGGAGCTCCCTCTCCTCACGTGCCTGAGGCTGCCCCTGGGCTGTGTGCAGCATGCTCCAGGGAAGCCTCTGCTCTGCGCTTGGGTACTCACCCTGCTGAAGGTCTCTGCCTCCCTCCCCTGCCTTGGGGGCATCCTCTGATGTTGTGTTTGGGAAACTGCTGCAGAAGCAGGCTGGGGATGAGCAGAAATGTCACACAGATGCCCCAGAAGGTTGTCCTGCCCCTGAACTCAAAGGCACACAGCAGGGCTGGAGGTGGAAAGGTTGGAGCTGTGGGAAGGAGGTTGGACCGCAGCCGGCTCCTGTCCTGGGGTCCTTGTGAGCTGCAGATTTCCTTCAGCAGGCTTTGTGCCTCATTGTGCTGCCCTGAGCACCCAGGCTCAGCTTCCAGTGGCAGCAGGATGTGTGCTGGGCTTCAGGGCTGTCACTTGTCTGTTGGCACCTCTCTCCTGCTGACTCTGAGCTCCAGATCTAGGAAAATAGAGCCGGGATGTGCAGCAGAGCACTGGGATGAGCTTCCCCAGCAGGTTCTCTGCTTAAACACAAAGGCAGCTCAGGTGCTGAGGGGTGTTTGCCCCTCACTGTGACTTGGTGCCTCCCAGCAGCCATTAAAGGGATTCATGGATGGATTTAACAAAACCTGGTTTGTCTCAGCATTTTGGAATGGTTTGAGCTGGAAGAGATCATAAATCCCATCCAGTTCCACCCCTCTGCCATGGGTTACCTTTAACTATCCCAGGCTGCTCCAAGCCCATCCAGCCTGGCCTTGGACACTGTCAGGGACACTGTGCCAGGGCCTCAGCTCCTTCACAACCAAGAATTTACTCCCAATATGCCATCTAATCCTGCCCTCTGTCTGTTTGAAGCCATTCCCTGTGTCCTGTCCCCTCCAGGCCATTGTGAATGGTCTCTCTCTATCTTTCCTGTGGGTTCCTTTCAGGTACTGGGGTTCAAACTCTGGGTCTTCCTGCCCACCCCAAATACCTGAGCTCCTTTCTTAGAGCACTGTTGGGGTGCTGGGTGGCTGCAGGTGAAAGGGCTGGGTAAACACCTCTGCAGGGTCTGTGCTGTGAAGCAGAAGTTGATTTTCCTGCTGGTTGGTTGTTTGCCTCGTGTAGAATCCCAGAGGAAGGCAGGGGGTGGAACAGCCTCTCCCTGGACCCCCAGTTTGGAGCTGACTGATAAAGTCTTGCCAGGGACACTCCAGTGCCTCAGATCCTTCCCTGCTCCCAGGCAGCTCTGGCTGTGTGGCTCCTGCAATGAACTCATCACATGAGAAAGCTCTTAGCCAGCTCTGAATATTTTAGCAACAACATACAAATGTTCTGGGTCATTCTTGCCTGCACAGCTGCTCATGCATTTAGGGGAACGGGGAAGAACATCACAGCTCTGTATTAAAACTCTTTTTATTTCTTCCTGTCCTAGGGAACATCTGTCTGCCAGGCTATTCTGGTGGGATCTGTAGTGGCCCTCCTGTATTCCTCAAGGGCTTGCTATAACCTGGTAGCTGTGGCCATATCTCCAGACAATGTTCCTGGTCCTTTTAACTATGGCTGGGACAACCTTTCAGACAAGGTGAGTGTGTGACCCCCCAAAACCAGAGCCAGTGAAGGGACATGCAGTCAGTCCTTATCCTGTGAGGGTGAACAGGGAGTTTTGGGGGGTGTCTGAGTAGCTGAACCCCCACATGAGCTGCCTTTCTGCTCTGCTTGCTCTCTGCACCCACCAAACTGAGTCCTCCTCTCCCCAGCCACTTCTTCAGGAAGGATTCCCTGCTCTTCCCTTCCAGCCTGCCAACTCTTCTTGTGAGGGAGAGGAGGGACAGCTCAACTAGAGCAGAACAGCAATGCTTAATCGGGCATGGCTGTGTGTGAGGGAGAGCCACTGGCGTGGGCAGGAGCTCCCAGTGCCCTGGTGGCACCCTCCGAGCAGAACCAGCCCCCCCAAACCAGCAGCAGCACCAGGTGAAGGTCACTCTGCTGCTGTGGGGACTCCTGCCTTTGGAAAGGTTGCCTGCACTCCCAGTTCCAGCTTCTGGGAGCTCTGTGGGTGGCTGGCATGACACAGACCCCTCTGCCTTGTGCCCACAGGTGCATGTGGAGGTGAGCAGTGAGGAGTACGTGGTGTTTGGAGTGGTCCTGTTCCTCTGGGAGCTGGTGCCAACCACTTTCGTGGTGCTGTTCTTCCGCGCCCAGAGACTGAGCCAGAACCTGGTAGGCCTCAGCAAGTCTCCCTGTGCTGGGAGGATGCCTGGGATGACTTTTGGGGGATGTTTTGCTTCTGGCCTAACTCCTTTCTCCTTGGCAGACTCCAGCAGGGATGGTCAACAGCCACAGCTACAGCTCCAGGGCCTATTTCTTTGACAATCCCAGGCGCTACGACAGTGACGATGACTTGTCACGGCTCGGGGCCAGGGAAGGAGGGTAAGGAAGGGTTGTGCTGCTGCTCTGCTGCCCTCTGGGGCAACACCAGAGCTCCTGGCTTCTGCTCCTAGGAAAAGCTTTGGTGGAAGAGGCAGCTTGGGTGAGGTAAATGGGGCAGGGAGCTTCTGACAGAGCTTTTGTTCCCTTGTGCAGCTCACAAGGAGCTGCTTTTATTGGGCAGAAGCGACCAGCTCAGAGAGGTGGATGGTGCTCACAGGTGGTGATGCAAACAGGAGACCTCATCCAGAAGGGGTGGGATCCATTTCAGAGGGCTCTGAAATGATCTCCAGAGTGGTTTCTCCACTGGGGAATGAGAGCTGGTGAAGTTCTGCAAGGGAGCTGGGACAAAGCTCTGCAGGAAGTGCTGGTGTGGGGGACAATAGTCAGGTATCCCCAGCAAAACTCTTACAAGGCATCCTGGCAGCCCTGTCACCTGTCTCCATGGAATGGTTAGGGCTGGAAGGGACCTTAAAGCCCATCTTGTTCCACCCCCTGCCATGGGCAGGGACACCTTCCATGATCCCAGGGTGCTCCAAGCCTATCCAGCCTGGCCTGAAACACTTTCCTTCCTTTCCACTTCACTTCCTAGTCCCTCACTGTTGGAATAAATCAGGTGAGACTCCATTGCCTTCATGCAGAAAGCAAATTCTTTATTCACAAAGCTCATGTTTGTAGGAAATATCAGCACTGTATTAAACCTAGTTTGTCAGCAATGCAGTGAAATTCAGTTCACTAGTCAGTAAGGGCTATTGTATATGTCTATCAAATTTTCTCTCTCTAGATATGTTTACATTTTTCCTTTGTGGATTCTCATGGGGCAAATTTTATTATTTACACAGGTGCATTTGTTTTTCATCCTCAGAATAGAATGTTGTGTTAAAGGAACCTCTGATTCTCAAAATAGCTTCACATGGCAACTTGCAAATTGCTTGTTAGCTGCACTTAGAAGAAATGACAGGCCAGCTTTGGCAATTTGATTTCATAAGGCCTTTCTTTTAGAATTCTTCTACCTGTCTACAACATCTCACCCTCTTCATTAATGTAAAAAAGGCTCTGTTCTGGTTTTAAAACAGCTTGCTCTTGAGAGGGTATTATCTCATTAAGGTTATCACTGGTTATCTGTTAGATATGGGATGAAAGGCTGATTACAATCAACAAAGCTTATCAAATTCTATCAAGTCACTGACACAGCATTTCGCAGCATGAGAAAACAAAAGATGAATGTCCAATGTCTCTTAGGGAAATGGAGATAAATGACCATTGTTTTAAAGCCAAATAGTTGAGACTCAGGAGAAGGTCCATTAGCTGGAAATGTTGATCTTTGACACCACTGAATGTCCTCCTGGATCCTGGAACAGGGAATAGCTGAGGAAGGTTAGCAGGAACACTATACTGTGATGATGACATGAGGCTTTGTTGGCAAATTGCCTCTGTAGATTGCAGACACAGCTAAGCCTTGGCAGTCCTGCTTCTGTTCCTGCTCTGGCCACGAGGGCTGCAGGATGATTGGGTTCTTTCTCCTTCCACTGGGCCTCATTTTCCCAGAGGTGATCAGTGATTGATTGAAGAAACAGGTGACCACTTCAAACCTGCTGCTGGTAAAACACAAGCACGCCCTCTCTTGAAGTCAATGAATCAATTAGGCTTTGCTAATTGAGGCACACCAAATTGGGATTTAGATTTGATGATCTCCTTTCCAAATTTCTGATGCAAATATTGCATTATTCAAAATTCTATGTTGTCTAAATTTCTAATGTACATGTTACATTATTTGGATGTTCTTAAGGCACTAAATTCACCTTCTTTTGGCTTTTTTAAAATGAGATGCATGTCTTTAGTTATGAGCATGAGGAAACATCAAGGCAAAACCATACATGTAGTGAACAAGAAACTGACAGCAATCAGGAATAAGCCAGGTACAACAATTAATTCAGATAATACACTAATAAATAATACATGTGAAATTAGGTAATTAGGAATCTCTGAAACACTGTGCCATCATCCCAGAGTCTGTGAACAGCTGACAAACCTCAATTTAGTGAGGGCTTGGATAATTATTTCCAGATAATAATTCCCAAGCTCACTCTAAAGATAGGTTCAACTGTCATATCTAAGGGGTCAAATTGCCAAGTCAAAGTGACCTGAATCCAGTTTTGATGCAGAAAACATTGGGTTTATTGACAAATCCTCCTTCCAGGTAGAGCTAAGGCCTGGCCACAGCCCAAGCTCCATCTGGGAGGGAATTCCCTAAACACATTTTAAAGCAGGGCTCTTAAGAATAGCAGTTATGAGTAAAGGCCTTGGGGTTAAAGACTAATCAAACCATCCAGTAGTTGGATCCCTCCAAAGTTTCCTTCAGGATAGAGATGCTTCAAACACAGCAAACTTCTGGAGTGCTTCTGTAATAAGTGACAAAACCACAAGACCAGCAGTTCAGAGGAGGCTTTCAACCAAGCTCAAGTATCTTTTCTTGGAAGTCTGAAAAATATTTAATTATGAGACAGCATTGGGTGAAGCCATAGAGCCAGTGAGGGACTAGCCAGAGAGCTAAGCTGGCATAAGAGATGTATAAGCAACTAGAGAACAAAACAAACCTGAAATCCTGAAACAACATGAGTCTTTTAGATAATTACACAAAGAGATGTTAAAGCATATAAGAAGCTGGCTATAAATACAGTAATAACATCTTATGAATGATGTCTATTATAAAATCAGTAAATTCGCGTCATGTAATCAATATATCAGTGGTAACTCTCTCAGGAAGTTGAGGTAACACCTTTCTAAACAGTCATGTACCTGTGAGAGCAAAATGAAACAAAGGAAAGCACTAAAACAGCTCACAATCAACAACAGCCATAGTGGAGAATCATCACTACTCTTCTGTGTTATCTGTGGAAGACAAAACAGCAGAGATTGTAACCAATAGAATCTTCACAAAATCCAGGGTGAGCACACTGTATCTTCTTTATCCACCAACAGCTGTTTGTCAGGGTTCCATCCCAGCTGTTTTAGTCAGAGTCATCTTATCTCTTAAAAGAAAACAGCTTTATATCTTACAGCATAGAAAGGTAATGTTTAACTGTCTTAGATTGCAATGCAAGGTGTAACCAGGTGTATTCTATCACCATCTGTTAAAACCAGGTAGGGGAGTTCTTTATGTCTTCCATGACCCATCCCTCATGACTCTGGGGGATTGCTTCTCTTCAAGGGCCAGCTGTTAAACCAGGTGGGGCAGTTTTCTTTATCTCTTCCACAATGGATCCTCCCTCCAGGAGATATATTCTCTTAATGGGCCATTGAGTGTCCCTGCCTGGCTGATAAAATTCCATCATCCCACTGGGAGATGCTCTGCCCAGGGGGAGGAGCCAAAGCATTACTACCTGGATATAATCTGAGCCTGGAACAGCACAGCAGCCTTTTCCACTGGATTCCCAGAGGAACACCAGACACCACTGGACCTTGAGAGGACAACTACAGCCTTCTACAGGATCACAGATTCAACAGAGCCACGTTTGTCACTCCAGGAGGGCTGCAGCCACCATTTATTCAGACAGCTACCAACACCCTGACCCACACGGTGTCAGGTTGTACCCTGACTTTGCTTCAGCAGTAACATTTTATTTGTGAGCTAATTATTTCTAAACTTAAAGGAACTGCTGCAGATAAAATTCAAAGTTCTAGGACTTGGTTAAGGAATTAATTGCTGCCCATAATCCTGGGAGAAGAGGGGAGCTGCAGGCACACAGGGGAGCGGGATGGAGACGATCCTGGAGCAGCAGCAGCGGTACCACGAGGAGCGGGAGCGGCTCATGGACATGATGGTGAGGGAGATGCTCACCAAGAAGTCCAAGCTCCATGACCAGATCAACTCAGACCACCACACCCAGGCCATGCAGGACAGGTACATGGGAGTGAGCAGCAGCCTGTGGGAGCTGTATGATGACAAGGATGGTCTGCGTGAGGAAGAGCTCGGCGCCATTTCCGGGCCGAATGAATTTGTGGAGTTTTACAACAGACTGAAGCAAATTCAGGAATTTCACCAGAAGCACCCACATGAGATCTGTGTTCCTGTGTCAGTGGAGTTTGAGGAGCTGCTGAAGGCCAGAGATAACCCTGGTGAAGAAGCTCAGAATCTGGTGGAGTTCACAGATGAGGAAGGGTACGGACAATACTTGGATTTGCATGATTGTTACCTCAAGTACATTAACCTGAGATCATCAGAGAAATTTGATTATATCACTTACTTAGCCACATTTGACCAGCTCTTCAATATTCCCAAGGAGAGAAAAAAATGCTGAATATAAGAGGTATCTTCAGGTGCTCCTTGAGTACCTGCAGGGTTACACAGATCAAGTGAAACCATTACTGCACCAGAATGAACTTTTTGAGAAAATTCAGATGGAGTTTGAGAAGAAGTGGGAGAATGGCACATTCCCAGGCTGGCCTAAGGAGACCAGCAGTGCCCTCACCCATGCTGGTGCCCACCTGGACCTCTCAGCCTTCTCCTCCTGGGAGGAACTGGCCTCCCTGGGACTGGACAGGTTGAAATCAGCTTTGCTGGCTTTGGGGCTGAAGTGTGGCGAGACTCTGGAGAAGCGTGCTCAGAGGCTTTTTAGCACTAAAGGCAAATCCCTGGAGGCACTTGATCCTTCCTTGTTTGCTAAGAACCCAAAGCCAAAAGGAAGCAAGAGAGACATGGAAAGAAATAAAGATCTTGCATTCCTGGAAGCTCAGATTTATGAGCACATGGAAGTTCTTGGGGAACAAAGACACCTCACCCACGAGAAGGTGCAGTGTAAGCAGGCACGGACAGGGGAGGAGAGAGAGGAGGAGGAGGAAGAGCAGATCAGTGACAGCGAGAGTGAAGATGAAGAAAATGAAATAATATATAACCCTAAAAATCTGCCTCTTGGATGAGATGGGAAGCCCATCCCATACTGGTTGTACAAACTCCATGGTCTGAACATCAGCTACAGCTGTGAGATCTGTGCTAACTGCACCTACCGAGGGCCCAGGGCGTTGCAGAGGCCCTTTGCAGGGTGGAGACACGCCCATGGAATGAGGTGCCTGGGCATTCCCAACACAGCACACTTTGCAGCATCACAGATCGAGGATGCAGTCTCACTGTGGGCAAAGCTGAAACAGCAGAAGGCTTCAGAGAGGTGGCAGCCCGACACAGAGGAGGAATATGAGAATTCCAGTGGGAACGTGGTGAACAAAAAGACCTACGAAGACCTGAGGCGCCAAGGGCTGCTGTAGCTGTCCCCAGGTGAAGGAACACAGAGAAAATCTGCAGAAAGAATGGATCTGGCAGCAGCTCTGACTTCTTCATTGTCTGGATTTTGAATGTGCATGAATATAGATTTCAAGAATACTTTATAGAATAGTCACTTTCTAGTAAGCTCCTTAGACATTGTTTTAGATAAAAAACAAAAAACAAAACAAAAAAGGAACAGAGGTGCAGCAGGGCAGGGGGAGGTCTGCCACACCATCCCATGTCTACAACAGGTTTCTTAGATGAACATCAATTAAATATAGATCAGCTGATGTCAAGTGATGGGCAGGCAGTGCCCCAAAAAAAGGCTGAGCTGTTACATGCCACTGCCAGCTAGGGAAGGGAAAGTCCTATGGCACCATCCTGCACTGCTGCACCTCTGTTCTCCCCCTAAAACACTTGTGATTGAAAAAGAGGAAGGGAAAAGGCAAGAAAACAAACCCTAAAACTGCACACATTTTTCTATATATGTCTTCTGGTAATTTTCCCCTGGTAAGGAGAAAATTACCAAAAGACAAATGTAGAAAACTCTAGAAAGGCACCAAGCACCCGCCGCTCTCCCCTTCTGTTTTGGAGTCTGTGAGTTCTATGGGGGACTGCTGACTGAGGGACCCAGCCCAGGTGGAGGCACTGGCTCTGGAAAGAAGCTTTGCTACAAAAATACTGTCTGGTCCTGCTGGTCCTGCAGTTTGAGCTCTGCTGGAGGATGTGACCTGCTGAGATGGCCGCCAGTCTGCGCCATGTGGGGGTAACTTAATCCTGACAGAAGTAATTTTGCACGAGCACACAACTAAGTTCTGGTTCTGGGCTCCTGGTTCTTCATTTGTTTCTCCATGTGGTTTGACTGTTGCTGCCTCTATTGCTGTGTGCAGCTCTGGGATAGAAGAGAAATGACTGACACAGGTACCAGCTCTGGGATAGAAGGGGAATGACTGACACAGGGGCCATGTGCTCTTGAGCCTCTGCATGCAGTGACACACACAGGCACTGTCCCAGAACCAGAGCGTAGGCTCAGGATGCACTAAATACATTTACCTGATCAGGGACAGCCCCTGGATCACACAACACAGTAACAAAGCTATCAGCATACACTTATTGCACTTTCTCTCTCCTTTTCCCAACATATTTGCCTCTTCTAACTCACAGTTCGGCTTTCTTTCTGTGACATGTCCGTTTCCACACGCGTGTCATTTCCACATCACTTTTCTATTCTGTGACTTGTTTCCCCACACCTCAGCAGTTGTTCACTCACCATGGTTCTTGAGGCTGTTGTCCCCACGATTTGCTGGGCCCTTCTCTCCTCAGCAGCTCTTGGGCTGCCTCACCTTCCAGGACTCTCTTTGGGCCGTGTATCTCCCGAGGTTTGGAGACCACGTTTGTGTTCTGCCACTCGCAGTTTTGTTATCACACTTTCTCCCAGGAGTTGTGTTCATTTCCATGCATTCCACACCCTCTGCAGCCCCTCTGCCCGGGTTCCTCTTCACTGGCTGCCTCTTGTCTTTGTTCCTGTGGCTGACTGTAGCCATAGCCTTTTGCTACTTTGTGAATTCGCTGCTTGAATTTCTTTTCCTGCTGATCCTGCAGCCAGCGGTGCTGCCGGTGGTTGTGTCCCTGTGCTGTGTCTCATGTCCCTGCTGTCCTCTCCTGCCTTGGCCATACTCATGGCTGTCTCCATCTTCCTTTCATGACTTTGTATGTTCCACCTCTAAACCCTGTCTCACTGCCTGGTCCTGGGGTCAGCTTGGCTCATTTCACCTTTTTTGTGACAGGGTGTTCATCTCGCATCAGTCACATCTTTGCGGTGTCCATATGTTGGAATAAATCAGCCAAGACTCCATTTCTTCATGCAGAAAGCAAATTCTTTATTCACAAAGCTCATATTTTTATGAGGTTTGTGAATAAAGAATTTTATTTATAGGAAATATCAGCAGTTAAACCTAATTGGTCAGCAATGCAGTGAAATTCAGTTCAGTAAGGGTCAGTAAGGGCTATTGTATATGTCTGTCAAGTTTTCTCTCTCTAGATATGTTTACATTTTTCTTTGTGAATTCTCATGGGACAAATCTTACTGTTTGCACAGGTGCATTTGTTTTTCATCCTCAGAATAGATTTGTGTTAGAGGAACCTCTGATTCTCAAAATAGCTTCACATGGCAACTTGCAAATTGCTTGTTAGCTGCACTTAGAAGAAATGACAGGCCAGCTTTGGCAATTTGATTTCATAAGGCCTTTCTTTTATAATTCTTCTGCCTACCTGTCTACCACACCTCACTTGCTGCCCAGGGGTGTAGAGAGCAGTTCAGAGCTTCTGGCTCCTCTTGACCAGCAGGGCCTGGTGCTCTTCTCTCATCAAAGCCAAGTTCCTTGGAGACATTGCACCTTCAAACTTCAACCCCCTGACCAGTGCTGGGAGCAGAACTCTGGAGGAGCCAAATTATTCATCCCTATAAACTCCATGCCTTTTTTTTTATTGCCTCTCCTGCAGCTTGGGCACCTCTCATTGTGTTTTTTCTGTCTCTCCTGCAGCTTGGCCACCCCTCAGTGCTCGGGCTGCTACGGTTCCCTGGCTGGCACCGAGGGCGCCGCGGACAGCGCGCCCTTGCTCTGCGCCGCCGGCGGCTCGGAGAGCAACCAGCACCAGCACAGCTCCCACACAGCTGCCCCACACAACTGAGGAGGCTCCCTCTCTCTTCCCAGAGTGGCACTCGTGTATAGGATTGTAACCTGGTTTTTCCTCTTCTCCTCCTCTCCCCCTGAAGCATTAACTCATGACACAAACATTCCACTACTGCCGCAGCCGGGCGGGGCCGAGCCCGGCGCTGCGGGCACTGCAGTCAGAGAACTGTGACTTTAAGGTACCATGTAGCAAAGTGAAGCTGAACTCTCTGGAAGCTTTTTTTTTGTTTTTTTTTTTTCTTGGTCTGGTCTTCAAGATGTTGGCAGCTAAATGCACCAGAGCTTCCTCACTAGAAAAGAAACATCAAATGCATATTTGCACTTTTATCTGCACACTTGGAAGGAACGGATCTCGCTCGGGCCGTGCGTGGCCTGAGACTGTTCTAGTTACTGTTTTAATTGCACATCCAGAGCTGGGAGAGGCACTGTCTTCTGCAGAGACGTGTTCCCTGAAGGACTCTGCATCCTGCCTCCCTGGGAGCTCTGTCTGGGCAGAGCCCCCGGTGCTGGGTGCTGGAGTTTTCTGTGCCATATTCCCACCTGGCAGGGCTGGGTGAGCCCTGGGGCTCGGGGGGTGCTGCCCTGCCTGCTGGTCCCACCTGGCTGCTGCCCTGTCCCACCTGGGCCCGTGGCTCAGAGCTGAGGGAGGTCACTGTTCTGCTGCCTTGTCCCTGCAGGGAGAGGCTGGAGCTGGCTCAGCAGGAGTGTGTGTGCAGGAATGTGTGTGAATCCAGGGCTGCTGCACCCCCTGGGTGCTGGGAGCAGCCCTGCTCCCCCTCCTCCTCGCCCACAGTGGGGCTCCCCTCGTCCCCCTCAGTATTAAATTGCATTTAGCAGATAACCAAGAGTTTTAACCTGAAGTGAATGTGAACTGCTGGGTCCCCACTGAGGTGCAGGGGGTGTGTGGCTGCCTGTGGTACGTTGCTGTTGCTGAAGGAAGGGGCAGAAACCACAGGGATGTGATCCTTGTGCTCCTTACTCTGCCCTCCCCATGGACCTGGGGCAGGGTGGGAGTGCTGGGCCAGGCTGGGACAGGTCCCTCTGTCTTTCCTTAACCAAAACAGCCAAGTTTGACCTGGCCTGGGCTCTTTGGAGATGAGGCTTGGTGTTATTCCTGGGGATGAGCAGAGCAGCTTTGGCTAAAGGCTCTGGTGCACGGAGGGAGCTGCTCTGACCATGGGGCAAATCCACCCTGGGCCTGCTTTTAACCTGCCCTGGTGTGACACTGGGGACAGGGAATGCTGTGCTGGGACAACACCTGGGAGCTGTGAGAGCAGCCCCAGCCCTGGGGCATCCTCTCCTCTCCAGCCTGGCCCCCTCAGCCCTGGGGCTGTGCTGAGCTCGGTGTCACCTGCGTGTCCCTGTGTGTCCCTGTGCTCTCCCTGCCCAGCTCCTGCTGGCCCAACAGAGCAGCCACTCCTGGCTCTTTTTGGAGAGGGCAAAGATGGGAGCTCTGAGCACAGCCCTGAGCCAGAGCTGCTCCCCTGTGTCCTGGCAGGAACAGGCTGCTCCATCTCCATCCCTGCTTGGCTTATGGCAAAGCTGGTCAAGGGCCTGGCACTGCCACCCTTCCTTCTGCCCCCAGGAGCCTCCAAAGACAGCAAGTGACACTCGTGGCCCCTGTTCTTGCTTAAATTCCAAAGCACTAGGAGCACTTTAAGTTTTACTTTGGAGGGAAAGGAGTGTAGTGCAAAAAAAAAAAAAAAAAAAAAGGAAAAAAAAAAAGAAAAATTAAAAAAAAACTCTACAAAATCCAAGGGCTACAGGCTCATTGTTCCTCTTGCACTGAAGCACACAGCCACACTATGATCTTCCTGGGGTTTGGGGAGGGCAGGTCAGGGCAGTGAGCCTCGTTGCTGATGGGTTTGGGGGTTTTCTCCTCTGTCTGGACTGACAGCTCCTGCTGGGGCTGCTCCTGGGTTTTACTGAACTCATTTATAGCTCAGAAGTTACAAGGACTTTTTTAATGCATAGTTGCCTTTCATTAAACTTTCTTTTGGGTTTTTTTTTTTTTTTTTTTTGTGGGGTTGTTTTTTGGGGGTTTTTTTTGGTATGGTTTAACAGTGTTCTGGCTTTGCAGGTGGGCAGCAGCTGCTGCCCCAGGAGCTGTGGCCAATGAATGTACCTATTTGTTCTTCACTAAACTGTAACCAAGCACTACTCTGTTGAAATAAATTAAAATAAAAAAGACTTTTTGTGCTGGGATGGCTCCCAGGGTGACCCAGCCAGCTCCAGGTGTGGCCCTGTGCTCCCCTGTGCCCTGCCAGGACCTGGCACATCCGATTGCTGTGGGATGGGCTCTGGGGGTGGCACCGGGGGTTTATTTTATCCCCTGGTGTTTCTCTGGTCGCAGCCCTGAGGGAGCAGCTGGAGCCGTGCCAGGGCAGGTTTGGGTTGGATCTCAGGGAAAGGTTCTGCCCCCAGAGGGTGCTGGCACTGCCCAGGGAATGGGCACAGCCCCAGGGCTGCAGGGGCTGCCAGGGATGCCCAGGGTGGGGTTGTTGTGGGTCATGGCAGGGCCAGGAGCTGGGCTGGTCTCTCTGTGACCCTTGTGGAGCCCTCCCAGCTCAGGGATTCTGTGTCTCCATCCTGTGAGGTGCAGTGTGCTCACACCAGTGTCCCAGGAGACATTTCTGGCCAGGGGCTCTGCTTTGTCCTTGCCAGGACTGGCTCCCCCAAACCCAGCAGCACCTCCAGCCCTGGAGATTCCTTCATTCCTTCCCCAGCTTTACCCACACCCACACAGCCCTGAGCCAAAGCTCAGCTGCCTCTTGTGGGGTGGAAAGCAGAGGGGTTCCACACAGATGCAGCTTGGAGGAGCTGTTTTCCAGCAGCATTTCCCACACCCAAACCTGTCCTTTTCCCCTGTTGGATGGTGCAGCCAGGGCTGGAAGGAGCACCAGGAACTCCCTGTTCCCACAAGAAGAGGAATTCTGAAGAAGAGGATTTCACCTTGGGACAGCAGCAGCTCCTGCAATCCCTTGAAGTTGTTTTTGCATGCAGCAGAAGTTGGTGTGGGCACACTGTGAGTGCTTGGAATGATGGAGCAGACAAGGAATTTCCCCCAAATTTATTCAACGGCACAGTTCTTGCCCCACCTCCAGCTTCCAAAGGCAAGGCTATGGGTCTGATCCATCTTCAAACAGCACAGCAATATTTCAAAAAGAGTTGTTCCAAATGATCTTCCAATATATAAAATAAAATTTACATATAGTCCCCATTTTTATACCAAAAAATAGCTTTTTTTCCCCCTTGTATAAAACATCTCCTCAGCAGGTTACAGACAATGATGGGACAAGAGGCCCAGCAAGTGGTTTCCTTGGTTTAAGTCAGAGTGGTGCAATGATGGTGTTTGTCCTCAAATCCCTCTTTCTCCACTGAATTCACCTCATGTTTTGTAAGAGATTCCTGAAGTTTTCCAGTTCTTTCACACTGGTTGAAACCCTGTGTGCGAGGAAAGCAGAAGGGAAATGTTACAGCAACATTCATGTAGTGAATTATTTAAAACCTGGGAGAAAGGGGCTGCATCCAGCAAAGCTTCAAGCAGCTCTTGGGAAGAGAAGATTTGGAATTGCAGCTAAATTAGGTTGAGGTTACAACCAGGCCCCTCACTGTTCCCCTGCCTCTTTTTAAAGCAAACACTGGGACTCACAGGGGAATGGGATGTTAAGGAACTCATCCTTGGAAAATCCTCTTTGCCAGAAACTCTTGGTCTCTCAACATCACAAAGAGCTCATGCATAACCAGAGTGTCCTGAAATCCTCTCCTGAAGGCCTCATTATCCTTCTTTTCTGACAAAAAACTCCTCATCCAGAGAGGCTGGACTGATGGATTCCTGTTAAAAATGCCATCATGATCTGGGAATGAGCTGGGGAGAGGCTTAAGGAAAACAGCCCTTGCCTGGGACAACGCGCTCCAAGGACAGAGTCACACAGTCCCTTAAAAATGATGAAATTCTTTGTATCTCGGCATAAATGCCTCCTTGAATTCCTTACAGAAATGCAGAGTATAAAGAATATTTTAAATCATTCCAACTGTTTTACTCCCTACCAACACCTGGTACCAAACTATGACCAGAGCAGGAGTCCCCACCAAAACTACTGGGAACTGATAAAAATAAGAGCTCAGACTGGGAGTACACTGCAAAAGCAGAGGGGAAAGTCTCAAACTCACCTTCCAAAGGCATTAAATAAGGCCACAATTTCTTGTCTGGTCAGCTGGAACCCGTAGGAAGGGCCACTCTCAGGAATCTTCTCGATGAGGTTCTCTGAGAAGAGGATCTTGAGTGCTGTGCCCAAGCCCTGTGTCTGTGCAGGGATCAGAGAGGAGCCTTGAGGAGCAGCATTCAAAGCTCCCTCCTCCTCCAGGCCAAGAGGATTTCCCTCCAGCCAGGCTCTGCACCCTCCCCTCTCCTGCCTCATCCCAGTTTCCCAGGCTGAGCAAGCTTCCAGCTGCTCCCTGCTGCCTGCCCAGGTGAGGAATCAGCAGCCCTGAGCTCTGTCCAGGGCCTGGTTGGGATCCAAGGGCCAATCCCAGCCCCAGAGCTCCCAAATATTGCAGACAAATCTCACCTGCAACTTCCCCCACAGCCGACACTTGAAGCAGCCAACACAGTCCATGATCTTGGAAATGTTCTTGAAGTGCAGCCTAAATTCCTCCTGGGGGAAAAGACATTCATGGTTAGGCATTAATTAGGGCTCCTTCCAGGTATTAATGTGAATTAATCCTGGAATTCAGTGGGACTGAGGTAGGAAAAGCCTCCTGCAGTGGGGCCCTTGGCAGAAATTACCTTTAGTTTGGCAGCTTCCTTTTTATTCCCTGCAAAGAAGGAGTTTTCATCGAAATGCAGCGGGAAGGACCTGGAAGGGAATGATGAGAGTTGGATTTCTGCCCTCCTTGGGTGTATGGCTGCAGTCAGGGCTGGGATAAACACAGCTGGGAGCCACTGGACATCCCCAGAGGGGTTTTAATCTGATATCCACTCCCAAGGAATGGAACGAGATGATTTGAGGTCCCTTCCAACACAAACCACCCTGGGATTTTATTTTCTCTTCAAATTTGTATTGATGTCATTCTAATTTGTATTTTCCCTTCCAATTTGAGCTGGCATCTCATCTTGGAGACTTTTTCAGCAATTTCAGTGCTGACAGACAGAAGCACAGGAGGGGGATGAGATAAATCAAACATTGATCACTTTAGGAGACACCCATTTCTGTCTGGTTCCAGTATCTTCCATTCCTTTTACTCCAAACTCCATCCAGCAGCCCAAACCTCTGTTACCAAGATATTTAGGATGGTTTTTTGTTGCAAACACGAAGCCAGGCCTGGTATCCCACAGATGACTCACACAGGTAGCCAATTTTAGGGCTAACACGTAGGCAGTTATTAAATTCAATTCTGCTAAATCCAAAAGGCAGCCAAGGCTATTAAACCATGGGACTAATTAAACTGTGGGACTAATTACCCAAATTCTGTAATTTGCATACAGATATTAATAATGTGTTCCCAGCAAAACTACACCACTGGTTCCACGTCCCTGCTCATGGCAAGGGGGCTGGGCTAAGATGACCTTTAAAAAGCTCTTTCCCAA